TTACTTGATTATGTTAATGTCTAAAATGAGACAATGATTGATGTATTATCGCCCAAGATATTGGTGTAGTTAGTTATCAAGTATGCTGATGGTAGAAGTATATATGCTATACACATTTAGTATCGCTCATAATAGTACTCAATGATACGATTTATATAATTTCCCTATTGGCAGAAAAATAAAAATTTGCTGACAGTGCAGTCATTCAAATTCATTTTTATCATGATTGCTTCCTTGTAACTCGTTTTTGGACAAAACATGAAATTAGACAAGTCGTAAACTATTAAAACCGATTTTTATTAACAATTTTAGTTGAAAAGCTAAGATTTTCCATAGAAAGTAATCGAGAAATTTGAATGTGCTATTCTTTTTTTTGTTCGATCTTTTATATATATCTCAATTTAGGGGAAAGTGGGGAAGGTTGGGACACTTTTTTTCTTTTGCAAATTTTGAGCCGTTGATTCTGCATATTCACTTAAGTTGGCGGGACTAATGCATAGAGGGGTAAATGTAGTTTTTATTCAGCGACTAAGAAATTCCCTTGCGACACACATCTTACTACCAAAATGCTTTCGGTCAGACCCTGGGGCACGATGGGTCAGTCTGTCAAAATTCAACGAAGTATGTCCTTAAAAATAAGCAATTAACCAGCATAATCGTCTAAAGAACAGGAAGACTTCAAATTTGAAGATTTATTAATTTTAAAATCAATGTTCAACTGAAATAATTCAGATATTTTGACAAAAAATTTCGCAAACGAATTTGATTATTTCCTTCCTCGAATCTAAATCTGGAAATATTATTGATTCTCGAATATATTCCATATTGGGCCATGGGCCGAAAGAAACCATATTATTACACAAAATATAACGCATCTCTAGTTCTCTAAGCACTTATTGTATCAAGCACTCTGGAATTGTGCCCTGTAGGGCATGTCCCACTGAACCCCGGTCCATTGTTCCCCATAGGAAACAAATATTTTCAGACCTTCCCACGGCGAAATTCGGAATGCACATCCACTCGCCAACGTTATCAATATTTTACAGTGGACTAAAGCTGAAAAATATCAGACGATGGTTTGTCATGTTGGAAAGGCTAAAGTCAAAAAAAGAAAAAACTGGAACGGTGAAATTTTAGTTTCGACCTCCAAAAACCAATTTCACCTCATAGCTTGCGCCGCTCTACCCGTCCGTTGTCCGTTCGCGAGGACGTTGTAACTCACCGAAGGGCGGATTGAAACATCGAACCGTGGACAGGATTGCGGATATAGTATCAGCGTGAGAGCTGATTTTCCACTGTGCCCCATGTCCCAACGTTCCCCACCTTCCCTTACAACTACTATAAGCTTTCAAAATCGTACGATAAATATGCACTCATCATAAGCTATACATGATACCCTAGGTAACAATCAGCGTATTTTATAATTATTTCCTGGCCTTGTTATTATTTTCTATACAAATACCTATTTATAATAGGCCACACCAGCATGGATATCTGAAGCGCACTGTGAAAGCGGTTCAAGGAAATATCTTGTTTATGACGCACAATGCCTCTTCCGTCTGTCTTAGATCCAATGTTAGTGAGCAGTTATAACAAGCATGTATTAAGGTAGCAATCATTTCATTACTTAGCATCAATGACCTACTCTCCTTCGCTCGGTATCACATTGTCTGAAGCAATGAGTATGACTTTTGAATCTACAAAATACATATTTTTGTGAAACTAGACTACAATATCACTATTTTTGCTAATCAATATTTTTAGTATAGTCTTTTATCGTTTTATCATCGTTTGTAAATTAATCCTTTCGTCTTTCTGTGAACAATATTGTTATAACAGACTTTGGGATTTGAATTGAATACAGGACTAAAATCCTTATGTAATCTTATGGATTTGAATTTTCGTGAAATCCATAGTTGACATCTTTCTGCTTGTATTCGTATTTCTATCGCATCATTCATTTGGAGTTAGTAAAAATTCGCAGAGTTGTCGTTTCTTTCCAGTAAAAAAATATCTCGTCTTTAAATTGATATTGTTGCATTTCCATTAAAATATTGACAAAGGCGACGGTAGTGTCATCTCATGTGAGCATAATTCTAGAAACGTTTTATAAATAACCGCTTTACCTGGTTTTCCTGCTTCGTAATTTAATTTTTTTTTCTGATTCTGTGTTTCGCTATTATAATATACTACACTGCTTATCTAAGCAAAGTTTATTCATTTTTCTAGTTGGGCCATTGTACACCGAATCCGGTCTTATAATGACGTTTAATGTCGAATTCCTCGCTTACAGCGACAGAATAACTAAGCACGTGGCTTTATTGAATGAAGTGTATTGTGGAAAAGTACATCATTAAAACTTTGGCACTCGGCATCAACTTTTCGATGTTTTGCTAACGATATTTAATTGCCTAAAATTTTAGATAATCAACGACAAACCACTAGAATGATAATACAGCTAACACGTTTGCTAACTGCCGTTACCGTTACTGACTGTCATTGAAGTATCTGACAAAATATTATATGCTGGGAAATATGCAGACGTGCAGTAAGGCACTAGCGCGCTCACCGCTCAGCGTCCTCATACCGACAAAAAAGAACGATTCTTGGGGGTTCACTCTTTTGTACAACGAACAAAAACAAAATTAAATACTTCCCCATACTTCACGGCCACCAAGTGTCCAATACTATGAATGAAGACGGGAATTTATTCGTTGCTGGAACATATCTGTCTGCTTACTTATGTTTTCCACAAACAAGTATCTTTCCTCTTATAATAATCGAGTTAAAAATCTATTCGAATTGATCAGCTTTCTTTTCGAATTGATAGATTGATAGATTACTTAGTTTCAGTAATTGTAAGGAAAAGTTGAGTAATTAGGCTACTAAATTTTCATAAATAGGCAATATAACTATATATAACATACAGGCAACATTTTTTGTATTACTGTTTAGGCTGTTTAGAAGGCATAGACAACCTGGGATACCCGATTCCTCATTCGATTTTTATTCGTCTATGGAGCCTATTGAAATATTGTTAGCGGATATTCCTGAAGGATAAAATCAATTCGTGATAGTTTGAGGCTGTCGAAATTGAATAACCGACTTGGGATAGTTAAAAAATTAATTCAGCCAAACAAGCTATACCTACTCTACTAACATAACATTACTTGTGTCTGTTTACTGATTGTCTCAGCTAGTTAATTCAATTCTACGTCGGTTTTTCTGAATATTTGTATAACGAAACAACACCAAAAGCGATTTTTGATCATCCTCCAGCAAATGTGACGCGGGCCACAGATAATGTCGCGGGCCTCGGTTTGGACCACCCTGGCTTAGTATATGCGCAATGTCAGCAACGCTCGTATTTTTGAAATGATGAACAGGGGGAGCGGGCCAAAAAAGATGGAAAATACTGGTATAGACAATACAAACGTTTCCTAAAACTTATCGTTTGCTGCTTATTAGTCATACTTACTATAAGACGTCAGTGTTGTGTCAGGATGTAATCTTGGGGGACGATTTTCGAGTTTCACAGAGTTATTGTGTGATGAAAAAAATACTTATGAATGATATTCTACGTCTTTACATATGATCAGCAGAAGTTGACTTTTATTTTCAATAATTTTCAGTAATCTGAGCCTGGTACTGAAGTGGTCATTTTACATTGGTACATAAAAGACATCAAATGATAACATTTCGTGGAAAATGGCGAATCGAAAAAAAAGTTATACACAGAGGTACGTGGATGACCCGAATTGTCTCATCTTGAGATATTCAGTGATTCGAATATTCGTAAAAATAATTAATTTTATTCGGCGTAAATTATTATTCTATACCGAGAAAGGAGTCCCGTAAACGAGTGTCGCTCCGTTCATCTATACTCTAGCTTGTTCACGCGCTTGTTCTAAATAGCAATTCCCATATTTAATATAAATATAATCATATAAAGAATCAAGCTGTGTTGAACTTATTAAAATGCATTTTACTTGAGTAGATTATAAATTCAATTTATTCGGGTACTTTTTTTCACTGTGTTCAGTTAAAGCGTCGGGACCTTGTATGAGCAACACGCCCACAATATGCTAGACTAGACATTTAAGGAATCTGCACAATTTGAATATATATATTTGTAGTTATATCAAAATGAGTAATTTTAAATCACAATGATTGATGAATATTTCGATTTGGCTTCAGATCTCAACAAGGAACTAGGCTCGCAATCCTTCTAACTCGGCGGTCAAGTTATTGAGTGTCTTCCGGATAGATCTCGAGTAACTTACCTGCAAACTCGGATTGTCACAAATTAGGTGTACTTTTTCTTTTGTCTCGTTATTTTCTGACTTCTGGTCATGTGATTCCTAATAACCAATAGAGAAGCCTCTTCTCCCACTTCTCTTGCGCTGTCTTTGTTTCTTTATTATACCTACACTTTTTTCTTGCCACGTCAAAATTTGTCTGAGCCCAGGCGGTCTTTTCAAATTTGACGCCGCCAGGTAAGCAGATATTATTTTTGTGAATTTCTAAGTTTAATGGTTTTTGTGCATCCTTGTGTCGCTAATCCTCTTACAACCCAACGCTTGTATTGCAGTCATTTTACAGCTATACTAATGCAGTTAAACTAAACTTAGGCCTACAATTATTGATTCAAATGTCTGCAAAGTGGAATTGAGTTTATCGGTTCTGAAATTGGTGTGAGGAATCTAAATCGGAGGCTGCAATGATTATTATTAGAGATAATGTTATTCCTTCAGTTAAGCCATAGAATAATACTAAATGATTTTGGGTGTGTGATTATTGAATCAAAGACGACGGCGTAAACAAATGGAGGCGGTCGAGGACCGGGAAATGTTCAAGTAAGAAACTTGAATGTATTCAATTTTACGCTCTGGATAGCTTCCAAATATACTAATTACTGTTTTTGGATTTTAGCTTATATATATGTTAGCTTTTATTCAGCCTGTATATTGCCTGCATCCTATCTATATAATATATTTCAGATCATGTTTATGCAAACTGATTGAATGTAAACAAGCTGGAATTGTTTACTTACGGGAACTGCTGGGGCGATATAGACACAACGGTGAAATAAATATTTATTAAATTAGAAATTTCAGTTAAGACATAATATAGCACTAGATTCATATTGAGGATGATATTTGTGTTGAATCAGAGAACCGGAGAAGATATGACTGTGCAAAGATGTTTAGACCATTTGATAAATAATATTCGCAGATTTTGGACATGTGTCAGATTTAACCACCGATAGCGTAATAAGTAGAGGTTATTTTTGCTGACGAAGGCTCTAGACAAACAGCTACAGATATCTACGATTATTTTTGACTGGTCCATAGCGTTATGTAGATACTTTACACCTCAGATGAGCATGCTATGTCAACCTAATTTGGTCATCAGAGATGGAACGCCCAAATTAAGAGATTTTCTTTTTTGCTGTATTCTAGTAGTATTCTCTCAACGACAATATTAATAATAAATTAAAGGGACAAAACTTGTGAAAGCTGTTCGAAAAATAAACATAAATTTTTCTTTTTTATTTAATATATTTTTTTCAGTTTTTTTCTTCGGCCCTTTGTCTTAACACCCTCAATAATTATTGTTTTGACTTTTTTATTTCTGTTATCAAATGAAACTTTAATTTTCTGTTTTAGGGGCAATTGTGTAATGTGTCCTGATGATTCTGAATGTCCGAACTTCAGTACTTGTTGTCAACTTCCTGATGGAAAGTATGGTTGTTGCGGACATCCATCTGTAAGTATGTATTTAATAACTGGTATTTCTAAGTACTGGTGGAATTTGGAATCTATATTGTAAAATTTTATTTATTTTTGGATATGTGATATTTGTAATCAAGATAGGATATGGTTTACATATTTATCCTGGGGAGAGAGGAAAGGCGATAAGATGGCTTAATCCTATGATAAACCAAGGCCTCTCACTCGGTGACCAGCCCATGCCAGTTATGGGATTAGTTGGCCAGTTATTGTTTTCAGAAGCATGGACTTAATGGTGGCTAGTTTAAAATTCGTGATTACCGGTATATGAATTTTTTTGAATGCAATATTTATCAGGAAGAAATATATCTTATCAAGATAAGTAATGATAACCTGAAAGATAAGAGAATTACCATTTAAAAGATATTTTGATATCAGGATATGGAGGAAAACACTAAATATATTGCATTTCTTATAACACTCCATTATTTTTTTCAGGCCGTATGTTGTTCAGACCATTTGCATTGCTGTCCTCACGGCTTTGTCTGCAATTTGAAGAGTAGCAAATGTATCGGCAGGCAAGATACCGGGAGTGAACCTTTGACGAAAATGACGATTGACGATCGCTCATACAATAATGAGATTTCTGCTGGATTGGATGAAATGTAAACTATAAACCTATGCATTTACAATAGTCTTGTGATTTTCATATTTTTTCCAGTATAATAGTATGAAATATTGCTACTAAGGTCCGTTGATTAATTTTTAGGGGACGTTATCTTACAATTTAATTTTATTTTCTATAATATCAATAATATGATCTCGTTGAAGCCAACTAGCCTTGAACCTAGACTTGAATTTTTTTTTCAAGCTAGGTCGCATTTCAAAATGTCGAGCCCTTTAAAATCCATTTCACGTTCTAATATTCTATTTCTAACGTCTTTTAGAATATAACAGTTTGAATACAGATTTGCATAACTTTTCAAATTTCATTCCTACCTTTAAAGTTCAAAAGATTTTGCTCAGCATTATTAGATTTACGGTGATAGCAATTGTTTTCATTGATTGAAATATTTGTGTTAATATCGTAGTGACATTTAGGTTGACAAATAATTTTTTTTATTATCCCTTTGAATGAAATCACAATCAAATAGAAATTATGACCAATTGCAAGTATGTCGCTTAGCGAGTTATTGTAATTATAATCTTCGAAATTTTAGTTTCAGTTGGCCAAAATCCAGTTATTAAAATCAGTTCTAAAGCACCCATTTTTATAGTTAGGTGATGTATGTAACATTTCTATTGACATTACACATTATGGCTGAAATCAACATAATTTATAACATCATTATGGTGAATGTTAGTAACCAGTTTATTATCAAATGCATTCCCAAATTCAGTACCAGTTTTCCGAGATTTTGACAAATTTGAATGTATGTATAACAACTTTTTATGAATTCAATCTTCCATCCATCTTGGATACCTCTGACAGATATCTTTTTGTATTGTGGCCATGATCGAATCTTTAGAACTTTCGGTTAAGTCCTCTTTGCTATTATGTGTTAAACAATTAATTTTTCTCATACAATGTTCTTTGTTTTGCATTTGTATTGACTTTTTTTTTTTAGTTCAGTGAAAATTGACCTGAAAAGTTCCAAGCTGTGCAATTTTGATCCATATTAAATAAGCATATTAAATCTTGTTTTATCTTATGGCCTTTCTGGGTGGGAATTCGTAATTCAGAATAATTTACCATTCTTTTGGAGTTCTACCACCAAATTTCCAGAATAAAATCAGCAAAAGATATTAGTGTTCGAAATGTCCAAGAGCGTTTGATATTTTGCGGTTCAATTTAGTCTCTTTAGTAAAGGTATTTTGTTGGGGGAAAAGTGGCTTTTCCATGGGTGTGAACTGTGAAGGTCGCCGGCTTTTATATGAAAGTTCTAAAATCCGTGGGCGGGAATGGCTACTGGTATTCATTCTCTTACTAACCTTGTGCACTGAATCTTCATGATTGCTAATTAATTTGTTAATTCGGGAGTCTGCGCACAACGGTAACATATTTTTATAGTGTTTGCTTGACATTGTTGTATAAAAGGCTAACTGCTTTTCTTGTATGATAACTCTAATGATCGATTTTTTATTTCGGTTCGTTTTGTCAATGAATTCTGCTTGCAGACGATTAAGGTATTTCAGCGTTGCTTAAGGTGGCCAACCGTCCTTTTTTTCAAAGGACAATCCTTCAATTAAGCTTTTCGGTCCTTGTTCTCTTTAGCGTTTAGAAAAGATGCTAATTGTCCTTTATTCTTTCCGACGTTTTGCCCGATAGTTATAGTACTGTGTTTGATAATATTCCGTTCTTAAAAAATCGCCTTCGTTTATGTATTTGCAAAAATTGTAGAGCATTTGAAGCTAAACAACAAACATAATGTTGACATGGATGACCTATTTGATGAAGTTGTACTCATTTAAAAAAATTGGCACGGTTCAAAGCACTAAACTGTTTACAGAATGCAAAACAACAAGCAGTAAATGGCACCCTATCTTGAAATGTTTTAATCTTGAGTGTGTTAATGTTTTCAAAATAGTTTCATTTGTGCTCTCGATTCCCGGAACCTCAGCTTATTGTGAGCGCATTTTTAGTGTGATGTCATCTAAATGACGCAGTGAAAGGAACAGATGCTCCATACGACTAATAAAAAAGGGAGCTTTTAATATACTTTAAGTTGAAAGACACGTGTCGTGAATTTTCGGAAAAAATAAAACGTGATATACAATTGTCGAAGTCAGCGAAGAGTCGGTAGAAATATAACTTTAAGAATTATAAAATTATGCAACTGCGAAATTAGAGCTTTTTTGAGTCAATGTTAAATAAACAATAAATGAAAAACATATGAAGATTTTTTTAATATATTTTTAGCTTGTATATAATTTTTATTTCATTGTTTTATATTGTTCCTTCCTGCAAGTTACAAAATAAATGATGACGGTAATCTATGTTCTTTATTGAAACTTTCATAGTTGGCAACCCCAGCGTTGCTCCATCTTGGATATGGCATTAATTTTCATAAAATATTCATCTTCAACAAAATGAAAACCAATGTTATAATGGGAAGAGAAAATTTAGTATAATATAACGAGTATAATTTTGATATTTAAAATTACTGCAATAAATGAAAAACAACAATCAATGACTATTAAAATCAATAATATACTTAAATATATATATATGTAAAACAAATGAGCATGTAATATATCCAACATAATATTTATACATATCAATGGGCGTAGAACGAATATGCAGGACAGTATGAAGAAGATTATTCCAAGGCGTAATAACAGTTGATGACCGGCGTTAAAAAACGGTTCTCCCCGAAGTATGTGAACCAGGATGACGGACACCGAACGTAGTATGTATACCAGGTTAGGGCTAGGCATAATTTCAGGTACAAAACTACGGGTGTCATTTGGCTAGTTCCCGAACTGTAAATAGATACTAAAATGAGAAAAAACTGAATAAATTATGGCCTAACCTGGTACAACATACTACGTTCCGGTGTCCGCCATCTTGTTTCACATAGTTCGGGAGTACCCAAAAAACACATGTTATTTGAGATTATGTTTGCGATTGAATGTTACTTGACTGGAAACGCATTTGACTATGGTCATCGAGAAATCGATTTGCCGAAAGAAATATCTGAATTCCGTAAAAAATGGGTTCGGATATTGCTCCTGATCATTTCAAATTACGCGTTACTCTCATCGAGATAATTTTATATTTTGTCAGTTTACATCTTGCTTTCAGTTGTCCAAAACAGGAAAAAAGATTTAATACCAAAATCACGAAGTTAATATACAATTACTTCGTACCGGAGGTACAGAATTTAGCACAATTCTCTGTAGGCTACTACCTAATACTGAGATTGATAAAAGTTTATTTTTTGTAAAAGTTTGAAATAAAAGTTTGACTATTGCACAACACAAGATTATTGTGGCCTTGAATTAACTTCATGAATTTGAAAAATATTTAGCGTTACTGCATTTTTTTTCTTAATTCCAATTATCAGCTGAGTGACTTTCAGATTTTTTGCGAACTTTTCCAAGGCACAATCAGTATATTTTTGAATGTTTACAAAGTTGCTAAAATGCAAAAAGTGTTTATAAGTATTCCAGTTTTCATATACAACAACTGTTATTACACGAGGAATCGTCCTTGGAATTATTATTCCCACAAACACCATGGGCGATTAAATCAACAACTAATGGTAAACACAGGCTGCTGATGCTGATCGGTAAATTGTTCTTTCAAGGTAGGTAAGCTTCCGGTACCATTTCCTAAGTTGAAACTTTGTGCAAATATTAGATGCATCAAGGCAGCAACGCGGTTAGGTTTTACCACTGTACTTTGTGATCCTCCATAATTTGCAAATGATTTCTGATTGTAAACTTGAATGATTTCTTTGCAATTTTAGTCCGCATCATTGGGTAGATGTACAATCCCAGTAAGAGATAATTGGGATAGTACGAGTCCAGCTCCGAGTAAATAGTAACTGATATTGCCGACATTTTTTCCTTCACTGGTTCGAATTTCATCCGGTTTGAGCATACAACCATAGGGTCCCAAAGCGTAAGCTTGAGGAATTGCAAAAACACATGTACATGCTATGGTTATGAGCGTTATACAACGATAGAACAACGACTAAAATAATAAACTTTTTTACCAACTATGGACCAATGGCAAGAGTGTCCGTGTATGAGTCTTTGGCGGAGCCACAGAAAAGATACGTCATAAAGCCTGATGCTCCGTGAACGAATGCTTGCGTTCCATCACGACTTCACACCAGTTGGGGCGGAATCTTTTGGTGGGTAAAACAGCGCATGATCTAAGACTGATTTGATAAGTGTGGTCCCGACTATTGCAACGGAACAAATATGCACAATTTTTTTGTCTCCGTTTCCCCATTTTCTTTCCCGTCCACTTATTAGTCTTGACTCCATATACGATAGTACTCAGTAACAACCAGATAGAATCGCTACGTTAGTGAGGTTGATAACTTTGAACGTTGTTAATAATGACGAAAAATCCTCAACATCTTTTATAAATGTTGCATTTTCAATTTTTGGAATTACTGTTATGGCAAATGAACTATTTTCAGCAATCATAACAGCCATTATATTAGCTCAACTTAATTAAAACTGAAAGATAGAACAACATATTATCAGTGATGAAAATAGAGTTACTTGATTATGTTAATGTTCTAAAATGAGACAATGATTGATGTATTATCGCCCAAGATATTGGCGTAGTTAGTTATCAAAGTATGCTGATGATAGAAGTATATATGCTATACACTTTAGTATCGCTCATAATAGTACTCAATGATACGATTTATATAACTTCACTATTGGCAGAAAAATAAAAATTTGCTGACAGTGCAGTCATTCAAATTCATTTTTATCATGATTGCTTCCTTGTAACTCGTTTTTGGACAAAAACATGAAATTAACAAAGTCGTGAAACTATTAAAACCGATTTTTATTAACAATTTAATTGGAAAGCTAAGATTTTCCACAGAAAGTAATCGAGAAATTTGAATGTGCTATTATTTTTTTTGTTCGATCTTTTTATATATATTCAATTTACAACTACTATAAGCTTTCAAAATCGTACGATAAATATGCACTCATCCATCATAAGCTATACAGGATAACACTAGGTAACAATCAGCGCTTTTAATGATTATTCCTGGCCTTGTTATTATTTTCCATACAAATACCTATTTATAATAGGCCACAGCAGCATTGATATCTGAAGCGCACTGTGAAAGCGGTTCAAGGAATATCTTGTTTATGACGCACATGCTCTTCCGTCTGTATGTTAGTGAGCAGTTATGACAAGCATGTATTAAGGTAGCAATCATTTCATTACTTAGCATCATGGCCTACTCTCCTTCGTTCGGTATCACATTGTCTGAAGCAATGAGTAGGGCTATGACTTTTGAATCTACAAAATACATATTTTTTGTGAAACCAGCCTACAATATCACTATGCTAATCATTATTTTTAGTATATAGTCTATGGTCGTTTTTTCATCGTCTGTAAATTAATCCTTTCATCTTTCTGTGAACAATATTGTCATAGCAGACTTTGAGATTTGAATTGAATACAGGATTAAAATCCGTTTGTAAAGGAACCCTTCCATTCTTATGTAAACTTTGAGATTTGAATTTTCGTGAAAGCGATAGTTGACATCTTTCTGCTTGTATTCGTATTTCTATCGCATCCTTCATTTGGAGTTAGTAAAAACTCCGCAGAGTTGTCGTTTCTTTCCAGTAAAAAATATCTCGTCTGTCAATTCTATTGTTGCATTTTCATTAAAATATTGACAAAGGCGACGGTAGTGTCATTTTATGTGAGCATAATTCTAGAAACGTTTTATAAATAACGCGCTTTACCTGGTTTTCCTGCTTCGTAATTTAATTTTTTTTTTCTGATTTAGTGTTTCGCTATTATAATATACTACACTGCTTATCTAAGCAAAGTTTATTCTTTTTTCTAGTTGGGCCATTGTACACCGAATCCGGTCTTATAATGACGTTTAATGTCGAATTCCTCGCTTACAGCGACAGAATAACTAAGCATGTGGCTTTATTGAATGAAGTGTATTGTGGAAAAGTACATTTCCGTTCATACACCATTAAAAACTTTAGCACTCGGCATAAACTTTCAATGATTTGCTAACGATACTTAATTGCCTGAAATTTTAGATAATCAACGACAAACCACTAGATAATGCAGCTAGCACGTTTACTAACTACCGTTACTGACCGTCATTGAAGTATATGACGAAATATTATATGCAGGGAAATACGCGCTCCGCGCCTTCATACCGACAAAGAAGAACGATTTTCGTGGGTTCACTCTTTTGTACAACGAACAAAAAAAAATTAAATATCTATTTCCCCATACTTCTACGGCCACGAAGTGTCCAATATTATGAATGAAGACGGGAGTTGATTCGTTGCTGGAACATATCTGTCTGTTAAGCATTGCTTAAGTCTGGGGGCCACGAAGCGATTAATTAAAGGGAGGCAACAATACCGGTCGCCTATTGATTGTGATGCGATTTCGTTTGCATACTTTTCCCTTTATAAGAAAATTTCTAGTAGTCGTATTACTTGAAGCGGTTATTTTCAGTCACGGGTGTTCTTCTGAATGAATGTTTGATCATAATGGGATTTTGAATCTACCAATCAAATACCACTTTAATATCTCTTTGCTCCGCGTATTCTAACCTTGGTAGTTCAGTTGAGATGGCTTAGAACACTTTTTTTTATTATTTTGTATTTTTCGCTAGACACATTAGTACAAGAATAGATGAATATCACAATATAGAATCAAACTTTACTGTACAGACACATTGGATCATCTTTCTATACCAACATTTATATTTCAGTCTCTTCATAACGAAAAAGTGCTTTCGTAAATGTAAGTGGTCGCGAACATTGATTTGATTCTCAAAGCAAACTGCTCATTGCTCACAAGATTCCAAAATGCCGTTCTAGATTATATTCTTTTGGCACCTACACAATTTGCAGACATATCATATCAAGAATTGTTTCTTACTTATGTTTCCCACAAACAAGTATCTTTCCTCCTATATCGAATTGATCAGCTTTTTTTTCGAATTCTTGTTCACAAAATGATTCTGGTTATTTTTATGATGAAACAACATCAAATGCATTTTTATTTTTATGATTACCTTATATGACTAAGACTCTAGCAAAAGTAACGCGGGCAAAAGACAATGCTGCTGCGGGCCACATGTAGCCCGCGTCCCGGATTTGACACACTTTGGCCTAGAATATGCGCAATGCTTGTATTTTTGGAATGATGAACAGAGGACACGAGCCAAAAAATGTTGGAAACTACTGGTATGGACGTTCCCTAAAACATATCGTTTGCCTCTTATCAGTCCATACTGTAAGTGAGTGCGTACTACGTTAGTGTTGTATCTGGATCTAATTCTGGAGGGTGATTTCCGAGGTTTAGAGAGTTATTATCTGATTAAAAAATACTCATGAATTATATTTACGTCACTACATATGATCGACAGAAGTTGACTTTGTATTGTCGAATATGAGCAATATTTCAGTAACCTATAGCCAAAGCAATGGTCAGTTTCACATTGGTACATGAAAGTATGTACATGGTCGTAAATGTTCAAATGAAAATTTTGTGGAAAATAGCCAATTGGATGAAAAGTTATTCACAGAAGTTTGCGAATAACCTTAAGGGCCTCATCTTAGTATATCCATTGGATCGAAACTGAAGAAACGAAGTCTATTTTGTCCAAAATGTGATTCGAGTAACGTGAATAAGTCCCGGCTCCGTTCATCCATAGCTAGTCCACGGCAAATGGCAAATCATCATTTAATATAAAAATAAACTTTGGAAGCTTATCGGTGTTTTAAACATGACGAGTCAGTTAGAGGATATCTAAATTATTCGAGTACTTTTTTTACTATGTTCAGTTAAAGCTTCGGGACTTTGTACTGAGGAACGCGCCCACAATGTGTTGCGCATTTGAGGATCGTCACAATTTGAATATTATAGTTTTAGTCCTGCCAAAATGGGTATTTTGAAATCACAACGAGGAATAGATATTCTGCATTTGGCTTCCGATCTTAACAAGGACTCGACATCTCATTCTCTCCAGCTGTCAGCAGTCAGTTCATGGGTGTCTTCCGGATATGTCCTCTATTAACTTACTCCCAGATATGGTTTGTGACAAATCACGTGAATTTTTCAAAAAATAATCAGGTTGCGCAGGAATACAGGAATGTGGCATATTAAATATTGTCGAGATTGTTACAAGGGTTGTCTTGATGAAAAGTTAATGCGACAAACAACATGTTCCACCATTTTTCTCTTGTATCTTTATTTTCTGGCCGTCACTTGGTCATGTGATTCACAATAACCAATGAGAGAGCATCTTCATTTTGTGATCTACTTCGCTTACTTTGTTTCTTTATTATAACTGCACTTTTTTCTTGCCACGTCAAATTTGTCTGCGCTCAGACGGTCTTTCAAATTTGACGCCGTCAGGTAAGCACTGATTCAATTTTCGTATTTTTTTTAAGTTTTATGGTTTATGTGCTTCATTGTGTCGCTAATCCTCTTTCAACCCAACGCTTGTATTACATTACAGTCATTTTACAGCTATACTAATACAGTTAAACTAAACTTAGGCCTACAATTATTGATTCAAATGTCTGCAAAGTGGAATTGAGTTTATCGGTTCTGAAATTGGTGTGAGGAATCTAAATCGGAGGCTGCAACTGATTATTAGAGATAATGTTATTCCTTCAGTTAGGCTTAGAATAGTACTAAATGATTTTGGTGTGTGATTATTGAATCAAAGACAACGGCGTAAACAAATGGAGGCTGTCGAGGACCGGGAAATGTTCAAGTAAGAGATTTAAATGTATTCAATTTTACGCTTTGGATAGCTGCCAAATATACTAATTACTCCTTTTTTGATTTAGCTCATGTTAGCTTTATTCAGCCTGTATATTGCATTCTATCTATATAATATATTTCAGATCGGTGTTTATGCAAACTGATTGGATGTAAACAAGCGAGGAATGTTTACTTGCGGTAACTGCTGGAGCGATATAGACACAACGGTAAAATAAATATTCATTAAATTAGCATTTCAGTTAAGACATAATATAGCACTAGATTCATATTGAGGAGGATATTTGTGTTGAATCAAAGAACCGGAGAAGATATGACTGTGCAAAGATGTTTGGACCATTTCATAAATATTATTCGCAATTTCACATCGTTGCTAAGAGAGCTGTTATGGACATAGAACAGGTGATATTATTTGCTTATGTTTTTGTCACTGCAGAATATCGATTGTCTTTGTTTCTTTCATTATATTAAAACCTTTTTCTAGTACGTTATAAATTTATGCTCGCCTAAATATGGCGAGCACAGTTTTTATTACGTTTTTTCTCGTAATTTTATTTCTTCGTGTGTTATGTCCAAACCTCTTCTATTCTAGCGTTTCTCTTATTTCAAACCTATTTTCTAAGTCCTTCACAGCTATACTAATACAGTTCAGCCTGGGTTGAGCCTGCATTTGTTGATTGAAATCACTGCGAAGTGGAAATGTCGAAGTGAAACGAAAACGAAAGATACAATGACTACTAGCTAAATATAAAATAGAAATAATCCAGTTAGGCCATAAAGATAGTATTAATGTGACGGTTGATGTCTGATTCTTGAATCCAGGACTCACGGAAGTGTAGTTGAAAAGATGCGATCAAGTATTAATAAGGTAATTGTGCCAATTGCATTGTTTTCTCATATATATATCCCTCAACCAAACTCCAAATGAATATGGAGGTTTCATACTATACTGGGCTTGTAAACTGGACAGCATTTGTTGTTCCTTAAACTTACATTTTGATGTATTACATTACAATGTATGCGATTTTATACATACAAATTTTCCTTTTGCCTGTTATAGAAATATTTATTATAACGGCAATTAACGAATGATCTGATTCCTTTGCGGTTTCCTCGTTTCGCTGTAGGCTTATATAGTGGAATGAGGACAAAACAATTCTGGAATTGCCCGAAGGAAACGAAAATGACAGATTGAAAGACAGACTTCACTCGACTTGTTAGTCGTGATTTAGGAACTTGACCCTGGCACCGGTTAAAATACACAAAAGAGAGAACACTGGGGCTCGATGCAGTAGCCTGTGGTATGCGATACTTTCACATGAATAAGTATAAAGTATTAGATTGGTATTGATGACCGTGTTGAAGTTATTTCATTCTTTGTGGCTTTCGTATTTTGTAAAACCAATATCGATTCCATCAACCATTAGGATCATTTGGCGCTCCGGAAGTATTCGTACCAAGATGGCGCACAACCTGAACAACCCTGATACACATACTAACTTCAGGCTGAGCGCTATCTTGGTACGAATACTTCGAGAGCATCGATTATTTTTGCTGAAAGTAAAACGTTAATTAAAAGAAAGGAAGTCTCTTTAAGTTTTAATCCACTTACAGGAATAAAGGGCGAAGAGAGAAGCACAAGAGAGATTCTCGAACGGCAATGTGACGGTTGATCGTTATGAGATGGAAAAGTGGTCATTTTTCTCAGTTTTCATGACGAGTTCAGACATTTACCAGTAATGGGAAGGATAGAGTCGTCGACTCGACTCGAATAGTTACTGTCACGTAAATGGGCGAAGTAGTCTTTTAAACTACTGGTGATTTTGTTTTAATTTCTGTAAGAAAAAAGCGTCAAATAATGCTTTATACTGCTTTTTTGGTATGTTTTGTTGGTGGTATTTGGTTTGGGGCTGATCATTCTTGATCACTTGTGTAGATACACACAGTAGAATATTTCGTGTGTGGTATTTTGTAGTTATATCAATGCATTAGTGTGAATAAACCCCAAATAATGCTTCCCGTTGCTGGTTTTCTTGAAATTTATCAATTTCTCTACACTACACCACAATATCATATATATTGTATAATATATTGAAGATGTGTCGAGAAAACGAGATGGATACAAGATAGAAGGAATAGCAACCACTAAATAACAGAAACTTGTCATCGACGGAGTTGCATTTTGTGAGTTCTCTATCTAATTTAAGTCGAGGGTCGTGCTATTTAACATATATTTATATATAGAGAGATGAGGTATAAAATTATTTAACGAATACAACGGGTACATTTCAAGAACTGATTCAGACTGCATATTTAGAATAGAAATAAGTTGTTAATTCGATTTTGTGGTTGTCTCTATGCATTAGTTTTAGAATGTAGCTTCAAATAATGTTCATCTTGTCAACTTTCGTGTGGCTTGTTTGCCATTTACACCGAAACACAGCGTTTTTTTTCAATATTGAAAAGCACATCAAGTAAACAAGAATGGTCAAGGAAGAATTATGACAACTAAAGAACAATCGCTTGTTCCGGACGGACCTGCAATTGGTGAGTTGTTCTCTTTAATTTAGTGTCTTAAGTCGTTCCAAGCTAAAGCTGATTTTCCCTACACAAGTTCTGCAACTATGACGCAGTCCAACTGAATCTTTTGTTCGGGTTGTAGGTATTTTGGTTGACCGTTTCATGAATGTTAGTGATTTCAGTAACAGTGTTTCAGTAACTGCGTTCAGAATAGCGAAGTACAATACTTCTGTTCAATCGTTTGTTCTAATATGTTCATTATATGTATTCTACCCTTGCTTCATCCCGCCCCAATTTTTTCCAAATTGCTCATTTTATTTTTAATCGTTTGTTTCTAAAATTCTAAGCTACCCAATCCCCATATGTTCCATGGTATAATTCTTCATATCCAAACATGTTCACGACCGGAATATACCATTTCATTTTGCTTTATTATAGGTTTCTGAATGCACAAACAAATCAGTAAAGAATTGTCTGGCGTCCTGAACAATGACATTCGGAGTATTATCAAAAGTAAGCATTTAGCACTATCGAGTCTAATCTCTTCTATCCTTCTTGTGATGAACACTGCATTTTGCACAAATTATTGAGTTTGATTAATCTGCTTGGTCTCAAATTTAGATCTATTTTCGGGTTGTATGGGCTCTGTGCTTTCGATGTACGCTCATCTCACTAACACTGATGCTGCTGCCAAAATAACACTGACGTAATACCATAAACTTAAATCCCTTAATGCTTACTGTTTTTTCATCCCCATCATGAAGGGCGCAGTTAAACCCAATTAACTACGATACACGCAGTTTGCACAATAAGTGTGCGTTTACTGTTCATCCTTCCGAAAATGCATGATAGGTTATTACGTATCTAAATAATATCGATTTGTTTCAGGTACATGAACATGACGACGAGAGAAATGTTTCTTCGAATACAAATTTTATGCAGAGTGTTTTCATATCAGCCTTCTCCGTAATAATGTGAATCGGGTTTCGTCTGTTGCAATGCAATTTATTAGAGAAAGTTGTGAAATCTCAATTTAAGATATATGCTTATGCATTTTCAATAATACTGTGAATCGACGGTTTCGTCTGTTGCAATGCAATTTATTAGAGAAAGTCGTGAAATCTCAATTTAAGATATATGCTTATGCATTTTCAATAAGCATAACTCCTTTTGCATCTGCCGAACACACCCATATGAGCTACAAGTGCCGAAATTTTTAATTCTTTCCTCTTTCCTCCGGAGAATTTGTTCAAAGCAAGGTTACACACACCACTCAGAACCAATAAACCCCAATTCATGCGAGTCTTGAAGTAGTTAATCAAAGTCTATTTGATGATCAATGAAATTACCGAAAAAAAACGTTTCGGCATATATATATTGTATAAATAAATATTTGTAAAATAGTCGACCGATTCTCATTGTTGTTGGGAGAATGCATTTAATTAAATTTACCAACATCAAGTATTTTATCCAAATTTCTTGCATCTGAACTAGCAAAATACGGCTGAGATAACTCTTATCTCAACAACTCAACGAATTCATGCATGGCAAGTTTTCGAATTGCGATGAAAGTTTCCAAATTTTAACTAATTTATAAAGTTGAACCATAATACTTGATCCAAATGCTCCTCTCTGTCATTTAGGCTAAAAAGCCTAATTCCGTTATTAACCGCTCTTCAATGTACATATTTAGTAATAAAGGATATTCACGTGTATTACGTATATATGGTTTGCTTTTGTTATTATTATAGCTAGCGAAACTAATTTTTTATTTTTCAATGTTTTTGTGTTTTATTTCATTTAAATCTTGAAGCAATAAAAATTTCTCGGAATCTGGACATTTAAGAGTTTTGTTAAATAGGCAGGGAAAGTTTGACAGGCGGGAACTACAACTCGGAAGGTTACAGGGCTCGTTGTGCTGGAGCGGGATAGGGCCGGTCTGTCAGCCGGGATGCCTGGGCGCGGCTGCCCGGGCCCGGTCGCGGGCCAGAAAATCCTGGAAAATTATCTTTGGCCGAAGATAAAATATTATGTTCGGGTATGTATGGCCCGAGGATAATAACTGATTTTAAGGTAAATATTATCTTTGGCCATACTTGGCCGATGATAAAAAAATTAAACCAAATAAATTATCTTCGGCCACACTTGATCGATGGATAATTTTTGGGATTTTGATATTTTTAAGGGTTTGGACCTTGGATTTTTGTCGATTTCTGCCATCGAATATTCATTCATTCTTTCCTTTAGTGATTTCTGGATAAGATCACAAGATATTTTTAAAATACTGCACTGGACTCGAACTCTGGACTTAAATTTCGCTCGATGCGCACTTAACCGCTACACCACGACGATGTTAAGTCTGAACTATTTAATTCTGATACTTATTTACCGAAAATGAGTTGATTACCCCTTTGATAGATAAGTATTAGAGTTAAACCATATGAAATTCAACCTTACTGTGGTGTAATGGTTAGGTGCGCATAGAGCTAAGCTTAAGTCCAAAGTTCGAGTCTAACGGAATCTTTTAAAACAAAGAGAAATTTAATTCGAAAATAAGGTAAGGACAGATGAAGGTGACGTCATGGGCAAATATATCAGGCTAATTGTTGACCAATATCCGATAAAAATAGCCGAAATCGACAAAAATCCAAGGTCTAATCCTTAGAAATATCAAAATCCGAAAATTATCATCGATCTAGTGTGGCCGAAGATATTTATTTGAATGAATTTTATTTATCATTGGCCAAGTATGGCCAAAGATAATTTTACCGAAAAATCGCGTTATTATCGCCGGGCCATACGTAACCGAACATAATATTTTATCTTCGGCCGGAGATAATTTTTCTGAATTTGACGGGCCGCGCGCCCGGGCCCTGGCAGCCCTGTCCGCACGTACCTCCAGCATCCACCGCCCCAGCGCACCCTACTCTGTAGCCCTCGCAATTAGTCAGTTCTAGTTTCCACCTGTTTAACTTTTCCTGCCCTCGTCAACTTAAACATTTCAGTTGATTTCGAAAATTTTTATTGTTTCAAGAGGGTTTAATTGAAATAAAACACAGTTACTGACAAAATGACATCATCAAGTTCAAGTTCATCCTGAAAACATTTCGAAACGAAATTTTGGCAAAAATTTGATATAAACACTGTGAACACACTTATAAATTCATTACTAAAATATATTGGAAAATGAGCGTCTTTAGGCTCGCAAATGACCAAGAGAGTAACTTTTTTTAAATGAATCTCCGGTTAAATTAATTGCGTTTGAAATGAAATTTGGCTGTATTAACATTGAAGCGAGAATTGCTTTGCATGATTATTATCGTAGTTTTTTTTTTTTAAGGTTGATGATAGAATTCTTGATAACATATTAATCACGGTACAATGACCTCTAATCAAAATTTTACGATTTAGTATATCATATCACGATACTGGAAGGGTGACAAAGGTCGTCAAAACTAAGCCGCGTCGAATAATTTAGGGTGGCTACATTTCCGGAAATCACGGGAAAAATATAATATTTCGTTGTGTAAATTATATTCATTTTGCGCAGACTTAATTGTCTGAACGCTTAAAATTTATAGTCATTCGGCATCGAAATCTTTGAGAGCCCTTGGCCTTGTGATTCAGTGTTGTGATAACGTGATTTTGTGCCGAGCAAACTCGTAAGCAAAAGTCTCAGAAGTATATCATAAAAGTTTTGAGAGGCGTTTTATTAGGTGACATGATTCCACAAGATTAGAACAGTTAGACGAAATACCAAAGTAAATCTCGTATAGATTGTCAGTCGATTTTTAAGAGGATCTTGGGGACTATGTAAAACTTCGATCTCTTCTCCATCAAGTTACGTTGCAATACATGAAACTGAACAATGTGCGCAAAAATAGTTGACACAAAATTATTAGTTTCATCAGTCACCACGGTTTAGTTTCCTTCAGCTATGTTTCGTTTTCCATAGATGTATACCTGAAATAATTGAGGATTAGTTAGATTAGATATAGTAAACCGTATTATTATGCACACGCCTACTAATTTGGAATGCTTAACGGTACAGGACTTATTTTATATATGCTGCAGAATAGGGAGGGTCCGGACTTGTTCATTTTGTTAGGCTCGTATATAAGAGGGAAATGTTCAAATACGGTGAACCTTTTTAATTTTGAAACGGGGATGACAAAAAGGCACGCTTCACTAAAATAATATAAAGTTGAGACTGATAAATTACTGATCTCAATTATTCGTGCCGAGAAACTTCTATCTCTCGAGTCAAAGCTACAAGATTTGTTTGTGTTGTTAAAGACTTACTTTCAGTTACATTGTTTTGATAAATGTGGGATGGCTGTGTGATGAAGATTTGTCGTCTCCTCCGTACATTAAGTCCTGTAACAAACGAAAAATGATTGATTCAGAGTCATGAAATATTTTACTATCCAAAATCCGGAAATTTAACTTAAAACGAACTAATTAAAAGCCTCGAAATGGCACCAGAACATACATATTATGTATATCAGTTGTAAACAATTAAGTTTGTAGTATGAACCAAGACCAGTTACTATTTTACGCTGTAACACTAATACGTTTGGACTAAAATGGAAGTTACATATAATTTCCGAAATACTTCGCTATCCCAATGCAATTCTCTTTAAACAATCGACAGCCTATGATAACAAGGCTGGATATTTCGAATCGACTGTTCAATGGAATCGAATAGTAAAATACATAGATTCAGACAAAAATTTTGAACGACTGCCATCTTACTGATTCAATGTTTTCAGTAATCTATGTCGGGAGACAATACAATGAGAAGACGAATACAATTATGTCATTTAATATAAAATTTAAATGACTTCCCTAGTATTCTAGAATCTATTCAGAAATGCCCAGCAGCTTCAGTTAAGGATGCAACTGAAACCAATTTAACGAAAGCTCAGCACGACCCGAAACGCAGTATAATAGATACATCAGATAAGAACTCACCGACTGCAACTCTATCCCGGGACAAGCAATTATTCTTTAGCGTCCAATATTTCTTCAAGTGTCATTTTTCATTCGTGGTATGCCTTCTGTATAAAAAAAACCTTTAGTGTAAGAATATTGTATAGTATCAGACGGGAGACCGGTTGTATAGCAGTATATGTATTAGTCCTAATTAAATAGTACTTTTATACATTTTTTTTTTTCTGGCAAAAATGCAATCATGATGGGTTTTTATGAAATGCTTTTTATTAGGTTTATTTTTTATTCTTACTACATTCGGCTTTAATTTTATAAATAAAACACGAAAACCTAAATTTTGATACGCGAACTCTGAAGTATTTCACCAAAATCTGCATGGTTCACACTTTTTGCTGAAATAGCCATATTCTATAAAAGATTCTACTATCACCCCTGAGTGACGCATACCATATAGACACAAAAACCGCACATTCACCTTTTATACTTCGCCCATATAAATTATATGGTCTCATCACTCAAAGATGAGATGTATTTACTCATAAATTTTGATTTCATCCATATGTAGGGGAAGGTGGGGCACGTTGGGACATAGGGCACAGTGGAAAATCAGCTTTCACACTAATACTATATTCGGAATCCGGTCCGCGGTTTGATGTTTCAATCCGCCCTTCGGTGAGTTACAACGTCCCCGCAAACGGACAGCGGACTGGTAGAACGACGCAAGCTATGAGGTGAAATTGGTTTTGGGAGGTCGAAACTAAAATTTCACCGTTCCAGTTTTTTCTTTTTCCTAACTTAGCCTTTTCAATGTGACAAACCACCGTCTGATATCTTTCAGCTATAGTCCACTGTGAAATATTTATAACGTTGGCCAGTGGATGGGCCTTCCGAATTTTGCCGTGGGATGATCTGAAGATATTTGTTGATTATGGGGAACAATGGACCGGGGTTCAGTGGGACATGCCCTACATGGCACAATTCGACAGTGTTTGATACAACAAGTGCTTAGAGACCTAGAAATGTGTTATATTTTTATGTAACATTATGGTATCTTTCGACTCATGGTCCAATATGAAAGATAATCGAGAATCAAAAATATTTCCAGATTTAGATTCGGATTGGAAAATAATTTAATTGGTAAGCGAATTTTTTGGTGAAATATCTGAAATATTTCGGTTGAACATTGATTTTAAAAATCTTAAATCTTCAAATTTGAGGTCTCCCTGTTCTTTAGACGATTATGCTGATTGATTGCTTATTTTTAAGGGCATACTTCGTTGAATTTTAACAGAATGACCCATTGTGCCCCAGGGTCTGTCCGAATGTGCCCCACAAGTGGGGTACAGTGGGACACTTGACAAACGTTTTTCAAAGCATTTTGGTGGTAAGATGTGTGTCGCAAGGGAATTTCTTAGTCGCTGAATAAAAAACTACATTTAGCCCTCTCCGCATTAATCCCGCAAAGTCATATGAATGTGCAGAATAAAGGGCTCAAAATATGAAAAAGAAAAAAAGTGTCCCAACCTTCCCCACTTTCCCCTACATGTACTTGGTGTTGTGTTTCTTTATTTATATAATATTGTCTTGTCTTATAAACTCCTCTCAAACAGTTTTGCATACTCCAACCCATCGCCCCACCTTGCACTACTGTCTATATAAGAGACCACATTATACATATTTAATCTAACATTTTTTGTTTTATGTTTGTCAAAAGGGGTGCATGCCGCACATTTGTGTTTTAGTTCAGTAGGTCTTGTGCATGCACCCGGTCTTGAATAATAATTGTCAAATTTATTTATTTCTCACTAATAAGAGAGGATAAACATACATACATAGCAATTATAACACTCATATTTACTAAAGCTTGTCATAAAATTGAAACCAATGCCCAATGTTAGTCGTCACATAGCAGATCTCAACATAGACTAATTTCATAGATTAGTTTTAATTGTGCTGACAAAACTTACTTTGGTTGTATTGTTCTGTTCTGAACGTTCGATTCCAGTTCTGGTGAAGATTCTCCGCCTCTCCACATTATGCACACTCGTATTCTATAGGAACAGAAAAATGAAGGATAGTTAAGACTGAAAATACTCAGCATTTTATCTTGATATAACCCAGAATATCAAGTGCAGTTTTAAGTATTCTATGGCGTCTGCAGCTGCCGCAAAACCATGGCGGTATTTCCATACCATGGCCGCTACGGCCAAACCTATGGCGACTGACTTTTTAGTTGCCACAAACCAATGTCGAGCTGCCGTTACCGCGGCAGCAAATTGAAAACCAATGACAGGTAAAATTTTGCTGCCGTAACGGCGGCAGGTGGGCCGTAAGGACAGGGCTGTCCCTTAGGGTGACAAATATTGGGTAAGTTGGAACGTTTTTCTTATGGATACAGTCTTGATGGATTTGGGGTTAGGGTTAGGGTTTAAGTAGATATAATTCCGCATGATCAATTAGAATTTGGTACATTAGTTTGTGAATATACCGTTAATACTGATTACTGAATACAGAATAGCGCTATAAAACCATGGCAAGAGCTGCCGCGGTTCGTTCGTGGCAGGAGCTGCCATGAAGTGGTAAGAACTGCGCCTCCAGAATATAGCGTCTATCACTCTAGCCCATCTACCTATAATCACAAATAAAAAAGTATAAACAAAATCTAATAATGTATCATACGTGTTTACGTAGAACAAAGTGGTCGCGAACGTTAAACTTGGAGTTAAAATTACGGAAAAACACGGAAGTCATTTCAAAATTTTGTTATTATTGGATCGCTCTCATAATTCAAAGGCATATATTGTATTGTAGTTTGAAAATTTTAAGACCTTTTCTACTTTAAATGTTGAATCATTTTTAGAGCAACTCCTACCTTGCCATTTACATCAGTCAATCGCCACTCGACCATCAGCCGTGTCAATATCGTATATATGTCCAAAGGTTTTCTTTTACGGATTTCTTTGCTTTTCAGTCTATAATTCAGTATTGATAATTATTACTTACTTTTTTAGTTCAATTCTCGATATAAAAACCTCGAAGGACGATGGTACGGAGTTGTTGTTAGAAGGAAAACGATAAACAATAATACTTTAACACAGATTACAACTTACAACAAATTGATTATGTCTGGAGGACATATTACGATGAAGTCAAATACAATTATGTCGTTCAAGTATGAAATTTAAATATCCATTTCACTCGATTTAGAAATTTTCAAGTATTTTCAAATGCTCAGCTTCAGTAACGATGCAACCAAAGCAATTTAATGACAGCTCAGCACGACCCAATACTCAATAATAAAGTAGATACATACCTTGTCACGGGACAAATAATTGTTTAGCTGCCAATTTTGTTCAAAAATTCGTTTTTTATTCGCGGTATGCCATCTGTATAATAGGAAATTTAGTGTAAAATATTGTGGAGCGAGACGGAAGAATGGTTTTATGGTAGTATATAGTATTAGCTGAGGACGATATCAATTGTAACACTTGTGTCCTAAACTTACATTCGTCCCATCAAAGATCTTGACATGAACTAATTCTACTTTGATTAAGTTTTGATTGTGCTGACAAAATTTATCTTGCCAATATTGTTCTTCATGTTCGATTGCACTTGTGGTGATTATTGGGATATGCCATTTCTGCCATCCTGTTTCTATGCCATTTCTCTCTACCTGTATCATACATGTTTGTGTTATTTTCTATTTAACTGATTGGAGTATTTGGTTGTATTAAGATATTTGTTTACAGTTAGACTTACATTAGGTTAAATGTGTTATGCTTCATTCACAAACATTGGATTTATACAAAGACACTCAAGTTGGTAATCTGTAAAGAATCTGCTCATCAGACTTCCCAACATGGCGCTGCGACTAACAGATGCTACCAGCTGGAGTACTTTTTTCAAATCTCTCGGCATCCCCGATGAGAGATCCGATGAATATGGAAATACATTTCATGCTAATGAGCTCACTGAGACTGAATTACCACAGCTGGACAAAAATACTCTTAAAAGTGATTTGGGTATAACAATCTTAGCACATCAAATTAAAATATTGAATCATTCTCAGCAAAACATATCCAACTCTTCTCAGCCCACCAAACTAAATCTGCCCGTAAAGTTACCTGAATTCTCAACTAGAATGTCTAGTTCTGATTTTCGCACTGCTTTATCCGTGTGGACAACATTCAAGAACCTTCAACCACATGCAAGTGTTCATGCCAATGATTTACTTTACTCTGCATGTGATCAGGCAGTTCAAAAAATCATCAACAACACATGTTCAGAGTTCAGAGACTTAACCGAAAAGGAATTCCTATCTAAAATCAGGAACATTGTCACACTAGAATTAAATCCTCTTACGCACAGAACAAAATTCATGGACATGCAGCAACATACTGGGGAAACAGTCACACAGTTTGTAGCCAGACTGCTTTCTGTGGCACACGACTGCGAATACATATGCCCAAGCGAAGCATGCAAGTTTGATCAAACCGACTGGCACGTTCGGGATCAGCTCATCAAGGGCATCTGCAACACAACCCTTCAGGCTGACATACTGTCCAAATGCGCAGACAAAAAGGCCCTCATTACCTTAGAGGAAGTTGTTAAGTATGCCACCGCTTACGAATCGGCTATTCGAAATCAAGAAACGATACACTGCCACACACAATCATATTCTGTATCACACTTCGCCACACAAAGACAACGTCAAAGAGAAGCCCTAGCAAGAAGTCATCTTCAGGACGCATTGCATGTAGGGGATGTGGCAGTCTTAATCATGGATCCACAGAAATGGACAGGAAGAATCGATGCCCAGCATGGGGAAAAACTTGTTCTCACTGTCGAAAAGATAATCATTACAAGAAAGTATGCTTCTCCGCAAAAAGCAATGCAATACAGGCACAGTCCATGACATCATCCGAGTCCCAGTCAGACTCAGATTCTGTGGATGAAAAAGCCAATCTGAGCGTAATTTCACTTTATAACGTTGGAGATCCACACTCCTCATTAGCTGAAATCAAAATTCAGATCTCTCATACTTCGTCTACAGCAAACAGCATCTGCTCCAAACCTGTGACAGCACTACCGGACAGTGGAGCATCAATATGTGTCGCTGAACATCCATATATTTCATATTTGCACATATCTAAGAGAGTTCTACAAAAATGTAACAAAAGCATTCGCATTGTAGGAGGTAGTACTATCAAAGCTTACTGCTATGCCAACGTAAACATAAATATTATTGGATATGGTAAACAAACAAAACAACAACTATACTTTACTGAACCTGGGATAAAGCTACGCCATCTATATTTAAGCAAAGATGCATGTATAGCATTGGACATCCTACCGAAGAGTTTTCCACTGCCATCACCTAATGCCAGCTCAATAAACTCTCTTACGAGCACAAGGTCTCCCACAAAACCCTCAATCACAAATCAACGGGTTCAATCACTACCGACCAGACCTATGTCTATTCCTTTTCCTCCAACTGAGGACAACATAACTAGACTGAAACAGTACATTCTGGATAGTTTCAAGGCTTCCGCCTTTGACCGATCTCCACCATTCCCCACAATGCAGGGACCACCTGCACACATCTACCTCAAACCGAAGGCTATCCCATATGCACGCCACACACCGATTCCAATACCTATACATATGGAGAAACCAGCAAAGCAAAAACTACTGGACGATGTCGAAAAGGGCATAGTAAAGCCCGTACCTCCAGGCATGATCACACCATGGTGTTCACCCATGGTCACACTCTTGAAGAAAAATGGATCTATCCGGCGAACTATTGATTTACAGAAATTGAACTCCCAGTGCATACGAGAAGCTCACTATAATCCATCTCCATTCAAAGCTGCCTGCAAAATTCCTCCTAACACGAAAAAGTCTATTTTGGACATCACTGATGGCTATCATAGCGTCCCACTAGATGAGGAAAGTCAACCACTGACAACGTTCATCACACCATGGGGAAGATTTATGAACACACGCCTTATTCAAGGTTTTAAATCTGCAGGAGATATTTTCAATCGCAACCTCGATCTCATTCTAGAAGAGTCAAACATTGAAAAAGTACAGCATGTAGTGGATGACCTATGCCTATATGAGAGTGACATTCAATCATCCTTCTATCAAGTTTGGGATTTTCTCACACTGAGCGTTCAAAAGGGGATAGTATTCAACCCTGATAAATTCAAATTCTGTCAGGACACCATCATATTTGCTGGCCTTAAAATAACCCCTGCTGGGATTGCACCTGCCCCAGCGCTTCTTGACTCCATCAAAAACTTTCCACCTCCGACAAACATTCACGACGCTCGAAGTTGGCACGGCTTGGTAAATCAAATATCATGGGCTTACGCCATCTCCCCCATTATGCTCCCATTTCGCGACCTAATAAAAAAGGGATCCAAATTCATATGGGACGACACTCTTCAATCTATATTTGAGAAATCGAAAGCGAAACTCATCACCCTATGTGAAGAAGGGATCAAATCATTTGACCTTCATCGACCATCTTTGATTCAATGCGACTGGAGCAAGGACGGCATTGGCTATCTACTTCTACAGAAATATTGTACCTGCGGTACAAATGAAGCCCCAAATTGTTGCCCTGATGGTTGGCATCTCGTATACGCCGGCTCTCGGCACACTTCACAAGCTGAAAGAAACTATGCACCCATCGAAGGCGAAGCGCTTGCGGTTGCTTGGAGCTTAGACCATGCCAAGTCTTTCATCCTCGGCTGTAAAGATCTCATTGTAGTAACCGATCACAAACCCCTCATCCCATTGTTCAGCAACCGACAACTATCTGACATCAGCAACCCACGCGTGCTGAGATTCAGATCAAAAGTTTCTCAATACGATTTCTCCATACACCACTGTTGTGGAAAATGGCACAGAGGGCCAGATGCGCTTTCAAGGAATCCAGTACTTTCTGCCTCTAATCCAACTGATGAAGACCTCTTTGCTGCTGAACTAGAGGACGACACCACTTGGTCTCTCATGCACGAGACAATACAAGCCTTAAATTGTTACATTGAAAACGAGAATGGACCTCTTACGGATCGGGCAATAACTATCGATAGGCTTCAAAACGCTTGTCAAGCTGACAAATCACATAAGCTGTTATATGAAACTATTTCTTCTGGATTCCCTCCCACAAGAAGTGCCACTTCACCGGAGGTTCGCTCCTATTGGGAACTACGTAACAGACTATCTTGTTTCGACAACAAGATCATTGTTTTAGATAACAAAAGATTCGTTATCCCTCGACAGCTCAGATCATCTGTGCTCCATACACTACACAGTGCCCACCAGGGCTGCACAAATATGGTCGCTAGGGCAAAAGATTGTGTGTACTGGCCGGGAATGAACAAATGCATTCTCAACTTCAAATCTTCTTGCTCCACTTGCTCCTATATTGCACCATCTCAAGTTCAAGAAACTATCATACCAACACCTCCACCCCAATGGCCTTTTCAACAAATCTGTGCTGACCTATTTTATCTAAATGGTAACGATTACTTAGCAATCACAGACAGATTCAGTGGATGGATTGAAATTGCCCACTTTCACCGATCACCTTCCACAAACCGCATCATTCCTGTTTTCGAACAACTTTTCACGCGCTTTGGCTGTGCTGAAGAACTCAGTACTGATGGTGGCCCTCAGTTTGCTTCAGAGGAATTCAAGAAATTTCTGGAAATTTGGGGTGTGAAAGGTCGAATCTCGTCAGCACACTATCCACAATCAAATGGGCGAGCTGAACTTGCCGTAAAAACAGCCAAACGACTCATCCGGGACAATTTACTGCCAGACGGTTCCCCAAAAAGTCGTTCATTCGGCAAAGCACTTCTTCAATATCGAAACACCCCTCTCCGTGATATTGGACTCAGTCCAGCACAACTTTTGTTTTCTCGGCATCTGAGGGACTTCTTACCTATTCACCCATCAAACCTACGGCTCAATCCACTGTGGACACAAGCAGCCAAAGCTAGAGAAAAAACTCTTTCTCAGGAATATATTGACCTACAAACTGAATACAACAAACATGCACACGACCTACCATTTTTAGAAGAAGGAACAAACGTTTCAATCCAAAATCCCATCAACAAAAGATGGGACAGGTCAGGAAAAGTTGTGAAATGCTTCAAACACCGTAAATACTTGATTAGAATGGATGGATCTGGGAGAACAGTCACACGAAACCGGAGATTCCTAAAGCCTATTTTGTTCGAACCCCAAGCTACAATTCCCATATCACCCAACCTGCCACATTCTAGCCATATCTCCAGAGCTAACCACCCTCCAAATTCGGGGCCCCCACCTTTTCGCCCTTTGTCAAACCAAAGTAATCCCTCAGCTATTTCTCGTCCAGCCACGTACCCACCAAGATTACCTCTGGCATTGAGACGCCTACAGCCTTACAACAAGCCAGGGCTGTCTGAATGAACATGACTATACTGACTGTTCTATGTGATAAAATAAGACATTTGATAATGAATACTGAACAATTTTTATTTCTTTGTTTATTGCTGTTCAAATGTTTCTTTACCTGTTGCTATTTCGTTATTTATTCACTTTGTCATTTTGTGATATTTTGATGAAACAAATATCTTTTTCTTTACGAAGGGGAGATATTGGGATATGCCATTTCTGCCATCCTGTTTCTATGCCATTTCTCTCTACCTGTATCATACATGTTTGTGTTATTTTCTATTTAACTGATTGGAGTATTTGGTTGTATTAAGATATTTGTTTACAGTTAGACTTACATTAGGTTAAATGTGTTATGCTTCATTCACAAACATTGGATTTATACAAAGACACTCAAGTTGGTAATCTGTAAAGAATCTGCTCATCAGACTTCCCAACAGTGATGAAAAGATTCTTCGCCTCTCCACGATATGCACAGTCGTATCCTTGACACAAAAAATATAAGAATCGTTGGGATCGAAACTACTTATCATTTTTATCTTGATGTCACCCAAAAATTCAGTGCATATAGCCTGGTCTAAATAATAAATCCGAAATAAGAAAAATGTAACAAAATCACGTGTGGGATCGCGAGCGTTCGAATTGAAAGAGGAAAATTCTTTTCAAAGTTTCTTGTAGTGAAGCGCTCTCATTATTCAAAAGCATATCTTGTACAAACAACACAAACAGGCAATTTAATTAATCATTTTTTACGTTAATATACGCCTTTTATTTTAATAAAAGTATAGAAAACATATGCGACCCACCTATCTATTTACTTCAAATCAGTCATTAGTCCAGCATCATAAGTAACAATATCTTCTTTCTTCGTAAAAGTCCTGCAATAAATAGTGAGACCTTTGCTTTATAATCAGTTATGATAAGACTGGTTAACTTTTGATGTTGGAGCTTTTGACCTTTCCATTTACATCACGCAATCGCCACTCGAACATAGCCGTATCAATATCATATTTTGGAAGGTTTCCTTTCACTGCTTTCCTTGATTTTCAGTCTGTAATTCAGATTTATAGTTATAACTCACTTTTTTAGTTCATTTCTCGAGATAAATATCTCGAAGGACGATGGTACAGAGTTGCAGAAGTAGGAAAATGTTAAACAATAACACTTCAACCCGGATTACAACTTACAACAACACATTTGACCAGCGAGCAAGACTTGATCTACATCCTTATGATTGACGTTCAAATAAATGCACTCGAAAGATATACAATAAATACAAAAAAGCAAAAGAACGCAATGCTGAAATGAATTTAATGCACATACAAAAGTCATGACTAATATTGACATGGAAACACAACAATACATAAGTGAAAATTTCCATCAGATCCTGAATATGAGTTACCTAAATGTATCGAAAAATGAAAAGTTATTTTATGTGATTCTGAGTTCTACGTACTTACTAAAATGTTATTTATGAATTTTTAAACTCTAGCTTTGTTCAAAAAAGAATATGCCGTTATAAATATTAGGCGGCAGTACATTAATAATCTTGTCGAAACACTGTTGACGATTAAAAGTTGAATTTACTTATTTATATCCCGACCTTTCCTGTCTAAAAACTGTGCGTATACCTGGCGCAGACCAGCGCGGAAACGACCTCACGCTACCACGCCCTGGACTGAAATGTGGCACGCGCGCCAAAGATTTTTCCAAGGTCAGAAGAGAAGAAAAGGGCAGTATAAAGGGAAACAAGAAGAAAGCAGTCGGCCGTTTATAATAAAGAAACAAAAAAAACACGAATTTCATTTTCACTCTGATCAGTGACCAATGATTAGATAGTGATATTATTGTTACTATCATGAGAAGCACATACGACCAAACATGACTTGGAAATAATAGAACGTAAATTTTATTTGGGATGTAACTGAGAAGATTGTCTAATTTAGCTTCATGGAAGATTTATTAAGACAATTCTTTGTTTGTTTGTATTTTGTTGCCCTGAATACTCCCATCCCCAACATGGAAATGCTTGAGCAGCCATAATAGGGCTGGCTGCTTTCCAACGGGTAATTATATTCGGAATTGTCTTATTTAAACTCGTCTATGAATCTTATGGTACGTCTGTTCAGATGGTCTCCATAACTTCACTTCATGTTGTCCAAACTTTGCGATATTTTCAGTAATTTGATACCTAAGCCTTGTAATTGTGTAGGTAGGTGATACTTTACCGCGACAGAATTTTTGCTTTTCTCATAATTATTGAAATAATGTCCTTCAACCCAATTTAATATATTGTTGACAATGGTGCACTTTATATTGAAATTATTCTTTTCACGATGCGGATATTCACTGCGCACATACGCCACAGTGGTAAAATCAGTATGATATATGAACCATACAGCGCGGTTTCATGCATAAGCGCTTATTGGATTATTATATGGCATGCTCTTCGTCAGTGATCGACGCAATTTTCCTTTCTATTCGACAAACGGTTGACTCTCTCAGCTCTGCAGAATTATGAACGCGCCAGTCATAACATTCGTTGCTGATGATATTCGGTCGAAGGTGATCATGTGTATGAAGAATGTTGGACCACAACAGGATGACCGCTTATCACATAAAGATATATATATAATTTATTTTGAACTCCCCCACGTTACAAACACATTACACCATATACAAGACAAGCACACAAGACTTGATTCCAGGAAAGTTCATTCTCGACTTTTTTTATCCACGACATCCATACCTGTTACATATGCAACCCTATGGCATTTAAAGTAGGCTATAATCTGCAGGCGACAATCTTTTAGTGCTTGGCCATGCCAAAACAATTTAGTAACAAATTTTACCGTGACGCTGTCATAATACCTGTTAATTTCCTTGTTCTTTGGTATCCTCGTTCTATTCGACTATAGATTATCCAAGTTATTTCCGAAATCGTGTGAAACGTTTCCTTGTCGCGTTCCATATGTTCATATCCTCCCTTATCTTGCCTTTTTAGCCAGAACATTTACTATTTTAAAGCGCGTTCATTGTTTCGTGTTGAAGATAAGAATGATGAATAGAATTATTTTCCTTTGTGTGGTATTAGCTTGCGTGTGGAAGCCTTCATATGCAAAAAAGAAATGTGTACTACCAAGTCCACAGAAGATAAACTGGAGCAGGGTATATTTTTTCGCTAATTTAATTTTTCTTTGTGATAAATACTTTATATATAATGTCTATAACAAACTCGTGATGTCGACAATTTACTAGGAAAATTATAGTGTAAATATTTCGAGGAATACTAAAAAGCCTGGATGCATATGCTTGCTTACACAGAATGGTCTTTTTGATAGAATAAAATAATTACGATAACGTGACTAAAGCTATATATATATTGCAACTTTGGTAAACCGATTTTATGCTTTTCTGTCTAGTCTGTATATCATGTCCAATAAACAGTGGCGTAAAATGGCGCCAACCGCGAAGTTTAAAATTGCGCCCCCCTGATAGTTGGTTTATAATGACTGTTATTGATATGTAACGACTGTTATTAAATACTTGTACGTTGTCATTTAAGTAAAAATATGAATTTGAATTTTTTCCATTTTGAAATTATTTCATTGAAACATTTCACGATTAAAAATTTTGCCGTATATGCGTCCCTGTCCAAATGGCGCCCATGATACGATCCATGTCTGCCACACCCTAGATTGGCTGTCAATAAATGCCTCATACAGGTGGAAATTTTACATAAATTTAAACGACGTGACACATAATATTATGTGCGCGCCTATCTGAAATACTCCATATTTCCTGATTGATTACGGTATAGTTGGAAACCTACTGACAAATGCATTCAGTTCGAAATAGTTTAATTTTTAAAACAGAATGATACTTATCCTATGTGGGTACTTTTTCCTATTATAAATTAAAAGAACAAAGCCAAATAATGCAAAATATTTTATTACCCTGCAGTTAATATTGAATTCGAAAAATTGTACAAATGAATTAGTAGATTAAATATGCCACAATTCAAATGCACTTTGTTTTCAGCTAACTGGAAAGTGGTATAATATTCTCAATAGAAAGACTCCTGGAGACAGATTAGTCAAATGTTTACAACTGAGAGATTTCGAAAAGAATAAAGCGGGCTTCTCCTACGTTATTGAAGACTATCACTTGTGAGTTTGAAGTATTTTCTCGCAATATCGTTAGGATACGTGAATACGTCTTTAGGATACGCGAAACTTGACAAATTCTGAAAAGAGGGCGCGACTCAAAAAGTTTGATAACCACTGCTCTTAACCTTTAAAATATCACCATTTTCAAATATATTAAAAAAATTTTAATACAGGAATACTGGAACGTACGGAGGTGTTAAAGTCAATTTCAAGTTGAAAAAGTCAGGAATTTATACGCCTATACCCAAAGTAGCAACAGGTATGACTATATTACATCGTGACAAATCTATAAATCTAATTGTCAATATTTATTGCGTCATGCATATTAAATTCATTCAAATTCGTGTTTATTCAGGACTGAAATGGTTGAAAATCGTTGGGAAAGACACTCCTCATCGCAGAGTTTCTAAACCAGTCAAACACGGTATGTTGATTTCTGTATTCCACTCATTTTGAAAGATATGAAAATACAAAAATATGTTTTTGTTTATACTTCAGAGTTGATGGCAATGTCGACTTCGAATATTGTCTTTCTCACTGACTACAAGAATTATGTCATGGACATCCGATGCAGTGCAAATGGTTTGTTTCTAAAATGATATTTGGGGGTTCTGTGATTTGTTTAGTGACTGTCCCAATTCTTTGTATGGGATTCCCAGCAGTACTAATACACTCAATGTTTCCATAACTCTATGAAGTACGGGATCAAATTTTAAATTCGTATGAAAATTCGCACTCATTCGACGGTATAAATCATAATTGTTCCTGTAGATCCTGACACTTTAGTGTTGGCCCGTGATATAGCTCTGCACACAATCTTCTTTATATTTGAGTGAGTGCGCTTTATCTTGCTTTGACAAAGTTCCTTCAAGAAAAAAGAGCAATCACTTCCTATTTTCAGAAAATAAAATCTGCGCCAATCTTGCGTTGTCTTGTTTCAAGTTTTTTTTTCCAGGAGAAAAGATGATTTGGGTTATGAGTAGAAATCCGCATCCTGGACCAGAAGATATTCTTCGAATAACTAACAAACTAAACAAAATCGGAAGAGGTTGGAACGATTTCCCTCTGTTCGTAACAGGATGCACTAAAACTTCCGGCCTGCATAATTTTAAACATGCATAGATGAGCCTGATATCACCATAAACTTTTCTGATTATAAAATATATATAAACTGGATTTTACAATATTTAATTTCTAATATGGTTAATAAAGCATAGAAAAATTTGAGATTTATGTGATTTTACAATAGGGAATTATTACACGTATAATTTGAATTTTACCCAGATTGTCATGTTTAAAGTGTGCATAACTATTAATTCTACAAAACCAATTTATTGAAATGATTTGATTTCCATTTATAGATTTAATCATGTACTAATTCAAAGCATATCAGTCAGCTGAAAAAAAATACAACTCAATGATGATAATTTACCATAGATATTTTCATAGAGAAGATTTAGCCATGAACTCTTTCTGGCTTGGGCATGCAAACGTTTTAGATATAGATTTGCTTACCTAAATATAACCAATAACCTGCTTCGGAATAGATGAATTATGCTAATAAATACATTCTTCTACAATTAAACTCAATTCTGATGTTGTTCAAATAAAAGCTGTATCAATGTATATATAAAACTGCTATTTCTTGCCGCTTTACTCGAAAGTTTTATGTGGGTAAAATGTAGTAATAGATATTGTATAATACAGTTCATGAAACTGTAAATTGATTAGTTAAATAATTTTAATGCTCTTCAAACAATTTCAGAAAGAGGTTCAGAATGCATTTGCACATTTTTTTTTCATTAGTCCTGCCAGTTTGAGACAATTTGATCTTAATTATCGTTGAATTACGTCTGTGAGGTGCAACCTTGGTTAGTTGGATTGGTCATTTGGCCATGGGATTATAGGGGGAGAATGTTCCTATCTTCGTGTCTTTATTCCCGTATTATTTATTATACATAGCGGAGTAAACCCCAATCCGAACTGCTCAGAGGTCAATGAGCATACAATAGATTGTAATGCCAAATATTCGTATATTGTAAAGTTGCACGATCAAATTGAATCCAAAACAGATATATTGAAATATACACCTACCAGTTATACGGTTGAAATCCGAATCAGCAATAATGCACAAAACTCGAATGGATGCCGGAAACACGTCACAGATTGCTCTGCATAAGATAAAGCCTTTGTGTTACGATAAATCAGCATCAAGGAAATTGCTGGAATGACCCATTTTCATTGAATTCACATAATATTAATACAAAGGGATTAAATAACATATACAAAACCATAGTTATATTCTAAATTTTCTATAACACAGTCTTTTCTGAAAACACAATTTGATTACTAATGATCTATTGCAGACATGCTGATATGGTGTCAAATATGAGTCGAGCAAATTTTATTTCCAATGATTTTTAGCGATTAAAACGTTAAAAAAAATATTTTATTCCAAAGTACTGACAATAAACATTGCTCAACATTACTGTGTTTTTGCATTGAAAATATTGAGTCAAATATATCAAAATTTAAGCTTGACGCTGTCACGCATTTGAGACAGTATATTTTCATGCTAATAAAACTTTATAAAGAAGGAAGTTAGAAATAGAAAAAATTCCACTGTAATTTGATGTTATTTTTAGTGCAAAATACAAAACATGAGCCATCAATTTGACGGAAGGGAACCATATGTTCCCCATCTATTGCCACAATGAGTTGAAATTTTCATAAGCTTCGATATAGATCTTTATGCTTGATTGATATTGAATGTAATGAATAAAACCACTGGACGGCATCTCGCTAAACCTTATCTTTCGCCCAAGGTAATGTTAAAATAAGCGCTTCGTAATTAGCCATACCCCGACGTTTACGCATAATTGTTGTATTAGACAAATCAAAAATCTTCTTTATAAATTCAGAGGCTATGTAGAAAAATCCTGAGGCAATTTCATATATTTTTATTACGTATAATAATTACATATCTTTAAAGTTAGCCAACCCGCATTTGCTTCCCATACCTCCAGTATGATAACTTCATCATTGGATGAGTTTGTATGTGTTTAAAAGATTGGAATTTGCGAGAGCCCAACTAGCTAAATGCTGTAGCACTAACTTAGTTTTGGCGTTGAACACACCAGCAGACACACAGATTCAGTACTATAATTGAAAAAAGACATAAATACTTGGCTTTTAGACTATAGTCTGATTAGAAGAGTATTAGAATATGCTTCGACCGTCATTTAGACACTTATACAATCTTAGACTGATGGCATTCTTAACAGATGTAATCAATGAGAAAGTTTTTGTTAGAATCGTCTTTATTATTGAAAGAAATTTAAAAAATCACATCGGATCATTTTAACTAATTTACGCAAGCAAACAACTTCTCAATTATTGATATTATATAAACATAAAGCGAGTTGCAGGGTTGCTTGATACACAATTATTATGCAAATTTAACCTTTGGATATTAACATTAGAATAATATAAAAAACGATATTTATATAAATCGTTTTTGATATAAATATATATGCAAATTTCTTCAGAAGGGTTGTCATTGTGCTCAGAATATACCGTATATATCGATTGTTGTTAAAAAAAAATGCTTTTATATTCAAGTAGAAACTGCTACTTTTCTGAAGGAGGAGGTTTCTTGGGACTTGGGGGACGAGGAGAAAAAGTGTCGTAGGGTATTGCCATTTGTGGTGACCTTGGTATACTGCAACCACCCGAGGATCCCTGTAAAACAAAACTTCATAATTATTTTCTAGATTTGATTATTTTAAACATAGATTGTGAAAAATAAAATTCAGATTATTAGATCTTGAATCATGCTCATTGCTTGAATTGAACACATATACCAACGCAAGAGGTGTTAAACAAATTTTCGAAAATACTGCTATACAATGTTATAAGGGTGAAATCATACCGTGGATTTTTTATTATTGTCCTTTGCATCAGAACTGAAAGAGTTTCCCCATCTATGTTGATCGCTCATCTTGTTATTAATGTCTTCAGTCTATCTTGAGTATTGTACTTGCGTTGCTCTTCGCTATAACAGACGTCGATGCACATAAGCTTATGAATGCTGTATCTATCTATATATTAAACAACAGTGGGATAAATAAATCAGGAAGTTTGTGGCGTAGTTCTTGACTCATTCTCAATGACTCAAGTTAAGTTCCTCCGTATTTGAATTTTAGAATATATCGACACAAAAAATGAATAGGCTACGCCTACAATTCACCAGGTGTTAATTTCAATCAATCTTATACTGTGTGAGAAACTTCCAGCTGTTCAGAGGCAACCCCCAATAAGTTAGAAAATAATGCCAATGTTCATCTAAAAGCGTTTCGAAATGTCGTTTTGCTCTTTTCTTCATTTCCAGCTGTGCTATATCACCATACATCTATCACAGTACTACCTAATGTATTAGAGAGCATCAGACACTAACTTATTAAAAACATTACAGTAAGTACATTATAGAACACAATGCATTGCTGTTGTTAAGTAACACTCCTGATTTAATTTTTATTGACATACTTCATACTATGACACGAAGGGAAAGCTTTATTTGATTGAAACAGATAAACCTAATAGTGACTGCAAATTAAGATGACATATGACAAGTATAGCTATGGAAATACCTCAATAATCAAATTTACAATGAGCGAGACATGAATTTTTACTAAATCCTGAATATCAATTGGACACGAAATATGTATTTTATTCCGTCACGCTTTTTTATGGATCTTTATTCAGTAAACTCGGCGCTCAGCTGAGGCCTTAGCGGTACCAAAGCGCAACCTTCAAAATACATTAGGACATTGCTCTCTTGTTTATCTTTTAAATTAAAATAGATAATTCAAATTATTTTCGAAGTGCATATCGATGCCTATAACTGGACAAATAATACTCCTACTCACTTCGTCGCAAATTTTCGTGAATGAGACATTTTTTAACTTCTCGGGGGTTGTCTCTGAACAGTTAGAAGTTTATCAAACAGTATAGGACTGATTGAAATTAACACTTGGTAAATTGTATTCATATGTTGTGTTGATATATTCAGAAGGATTCAACTACAAAGAAATGTGAATGAGTCAAGAACTACGCCCACAAACTTCCTGATTTATTCATCCCGTTGTTGTTTAAAATATAGATAGATACAGCATTCATAAGCTTATATGCATCGAATGCTGTTATAGCAAAGAGCAAAGCAAGAACAATCCTCTTTAAATGCAGATGAGTTAAGAATATGCAATATATAGGCTATATTCTATATTATATGACTGAAAAAATAAAATGAGTTGACAAATAATGGCACTTGATCAATCAGGATAACAGAGACAGGTTATGGAACAACTTGTGACTTCTCGATATAAGATAAACCCCACAAGATTCAAACAAGTGCGAGATCATAATTTTTCCTTTAAAAAGCCTCTTCAAACAATCGATATACATAAATGCTTGTTTGGCTGAAATAAATTATTTAATAAAGTGTACCAACAACCGGGATTTCATTTAATAATAATCTACTACAAGTATACGATGGCCTTGGAATCACCATACGAACAAAACACAAACGTAGTTTTTTGGGCAACCTGACAACACACGCACGACAAGCTTACTAACACGACTCCTATATAGTCGGCGTTGATTACCCTGATAATTATTACTCAAAAGAAATTTCTTGAACGTTCGGCCTTACCAACCAGTCGATATTCCATATATTGTATATTACACAGTGTTCTACCGAAGTCTCGAAATCCAGAATCGGAAGGTAAGTCGAACCAAGGGTCATGAGGCTCGAGTTAAGTTTGAAGTTGAGTGCTATGAGCCGTCATAATTCACCAAATAGACCGGAATTGAAACCTTTGCTTCCCTAATGCTAAAATGGTTATATTGAAATAGACCGGTTGGGCACTGGTGGAGTATTACCCATATTAAACAAAAGCAAATCTTTTCATAAAAGGCTAGCAGCCAAGTTGATTAACGAAGACAAATATACATTCCCGCCATACAAACCTCACTGGACACTCCATACAAAACTGGTAGAACTGGTTAAACTACTTTAATATAATTAATTTCACAGGTCCTGTGTAAAAAGGGGAGGGGCTTCGAAATAGAAAGACACGCATTTCGGAGGTGAAATATATATTTTGTCATTCTTTTTTTTTATAAATTGACTCTCGGTCAGGTTCAACGACTAACATACCGGTCGGGTTTAAACAAGAATACAGTAATTATGTCTTCCATCCATCCAAATTCGTTGTGTTTACTTTTTGTTATAAGTACTTCTAAGTAGTAGTATATATTTACGCTTCTACTGGTCTTTTGAAGAGGTGACTTATTTGTAAAACATCTATATTTGAGGAAGAACTATGATTTTTCGGCACGTTTTCATGAATTAAACTGATGAATCTTCTTGACGAAGTTGGCATCAAGAGTTATATTTCTGAAGTATGTCGTCCTTGGTGATTTGAGAATGCTTCCATTTATTATCTCATGAAGTTTTGTCATAATCCACTCATCCAATTATTCCAAATTTAACCATTTAATCTGACAACGCAGCCTCGTATGATTTTGTACGTCCACGGAACCCCTTTCTCTGTCGTACTGAATAACTATGATTTATGTTCTGGCAACAGCGATCGTGGTTTCAGGAAGTTATTTTAGTTTTGCAGTTACCTGCCCGCTATAAATGTTTGTAATAATTAAGTGCCGGAGGATTGCTTGAATCCTAGCCACGGTGGGTTGGTTCACCCGGAATAAACATGTAAACTCTATCCTCTGGTCCTATCTCAAGTGTATACGGTATACAGATATATATTATTCCCTTACAGCCTTAACTGTTAGTCTGTTACCGGTACCCAGTTACCAGGTAGCAAACCAATTAAGTGCCGGAGGATTGCTTGACTCCTAGCCACGGTAGGTTGGTTCACCCGGAATAAACATGTAAACCCTATCCTCTGGTCCTATCTCAAGTGTATACGGTACCGTATACAGATATATATTCTTCCCTTACAGCCTTAACTGTTACCCAGTTACGGTACCGGGTAGCAAACCAATAGCCTACCTTGAGATTTATTTACTGACTTCAGGACTTGGAAAATTAAATTTGAATAATGACTAGTACCGGTGTACAACTTGGAATGTTTTATGCTGATCCCGATGTTCAAATTGCCAATCGTATTCAAGAGAAGTTCAAGAAAATAGGTCATGAATTGAAACTTTGCGACTTCTACCAAGCAGGCTTGCCAAAAATGGAAATAATTGAACAATTTTTAAAGGAGAATAACGCAGGGTTTTGGTTAGCCACCGCGGCTGCAGTAACTGATGAAGCTATAATGAAGTCTACCCGAGATATTGGTTTATATGAAGGAATCACTAACAAATCTTTCAGATTTATAGTTCTCCAACCAAGAGAGTACTTGAAACTGCCGCTTCCAACTATATTAAAAGCATACACTCCACTGTCTGAAGATGAATTTTTTGAAAAAAGAATAAAAAGCACTTTACAAAGTATTGAAAAACATGTTCTTAAGCCCAAAACTTGTAGTTCACACCAAAGTTCTTCAACCTCAGGAATTTCAACATCTTCCAATGGGGACCCCTCTACTGCACCTGTCTCAGATGTTACTAAGGATGATTCGGCCACAGAAGAAGGAGAATTAAATATGGTAATCAGTGGTCCTGGTATTAATTCTCAGTCCGCTGTACCAATACCGCAACCAACACCCCAACCTGTTGTCGAAAATGAGGAAAATGCTGCACCTCCAGTGGTTTATAATATAAATATTACTGGTGCTAATAGCACGGTTCAGGTGAGATTGTTACAAATAAAGTTTACTGTAGTACAATTAGATTTCAACCAAGCGATATAAACAAAGAAAACAAATATTTTTTTTTCGGTATTGCCATGGTAATTAGGCATGAATTGGGATAGTGGATGTCAAAATATATATTGTCGATCAACTTACAAATCAATTTTTATTTCTGTTGTAATAACAATTTTGGTGTATGGGAATTTTACAGTTTTATTAACTGTTCAAGAATTAATTTGAGAACTATCAATTGTAAATCGAGGTGTCTTTATAATTATGATTAGTCTGCACTATTCACACATGAAAAATTTATTGTATATTGTAACTAGTTTTATTTCAAATTTAATGTTAATATCCATTATTAATATCTCACATCAGTAAAAACTCATTTCTTTTATTATTTTCTCCATCTGTTATTGACAAATTTTACTTTGATAATTTTTCACAGATTGGTTCTGGTAATAAGCAAATCTTTGATGGAAATCAGCAGTAAAAATCACTGAAGTGAAGTCCAATCTCTTGTGTTTGGTGAAATAAAAAAATATGGCGAAATCCATTTCAATATCCAAGACAAACAAATCATATTATACCGAAGTTGAATGATTCAAACTGAATGCAGCATTGAAAACAAGTTATTCACAATCACAACTAGGGGAAATTCTACTGATACAATGAAACCTTCAAATTTTTGTATTTTTATATTTGTTTTCAACAAGGATTTAATATTTTTTGATATTGGACTTTTTAGTCTTTTTTAAGATTTTATTTCAAAATTGAGTTTATGATTTTCGATCAGTCCTCATCAGGTATTTCGATCAAAATTTATCAGATGTATTTTATGCCCCACAATGATTTGATTTTTTAAAATATATGCAACAATCATGTTGTTCTTATAGAATATGAAATGAAGATGTTGATATCAGACTAAATACTTATAATCCTTTGGATATTTTGGCAATGTGTTTCATTTGAAGGCAGTTGACTATATTAGCAGTGTATGTATAAATACTTGGTTTGCATTATATCCATAAACCAGTTCAAGCTGTGCTGAAGCAGTTGAGTCTGTCTTTCTGTATTTTTCTGGATAACATGGTGCATTTTTCCGAAGTTCAACTAACTTTTTGAGATTTAATAGTATTGTATAATGATATCTTCAATTGGTTTTTCATTGTAACTGTTTTTCTCTTATTATTATACAGTATATTTTTCAATATTCTGTAGATGTAGCACTTATTACCATTTCTTTTTTAAATCCCTGTTCGACTTCATTTTAACAAATGTTCGACTTCATTTTACAAACATATATAAATAATAAATAAACAGATCCAGATGCTTAGGCTGGGAGGCAACGATACACCCATTTGGGGTTTTTAGAGTCTGTTGCCCCAATACACGTTTCTCAGTCAGGTCAATATAACCGAAATCGAAAGTTAGCTGAATATCAAATAGCTACAAATTACTTACTGGAACAGTATGGTGTTGCCTAATTCTAGAATATATTATTTGAGGCGGTTGTCAGTGATTTCCCAACACTCCTAGAATTTCAAATATCTCCCGAGATGTGGCGCCACACTTACATTCCTAACTTGAATATCCAGAGAGTGACATGCTGCATGCATACTATTGCACATTGCGAATCAATTTTAGGACACATATAAGTTAAAAATAGTTTTATCGCCAATAGCAAAATATCTGTCACGCCTAAATTCCGATACAAACCCCCTAAAATGAAAATCTATGGATACAAGCCGTCGTTGTTGATGTAAATATATTTTAGTTGGGTAAATAAATGTATGAGGGGTTCGAGTGTTTTGACTAGGCATATGTATTTTCAATGTGAACTAAAAATGAAACCACTTTTCCTGCGCAATAGACATACTTAAAAATCCCATTCATTATCTTTGTTGTGGTAATTATAGATCTCTCTCATTCTCAATATGCGGAAACTGCTGAAGAAATTTCGTTCTAAAATGTAAAATTTAAAGCAACGGCAATAAAGTGGTCATTTGGTGCAGTGTCAATATCGTGTAATAGAGAATAATTTGACTTTAACATTGGACAATGACAATTTCGGACACCGAGGCTTCGACCACGTCTGTTGAAAAATTTGATTTCTACCCAAACTTTTTGAATTTTAAATTTACTGACAACAAAATAAATACATCAGACAAGGGAAGCAGAAACAGCAAATAGCATTCTAGACCATTTTATAAAAACCATCATCCCAATGTCGAAATAGTCAAAAACTCGAAGGGACCAAAGGGTGGCTACCTGAAGCCAATCCCTCGAATCATAAACGATGTCAATATAAAATTTAGCTAGAACTATAAACATAAGGATAAAGAATGACATTTGCCTTCGTTGTGCACTGTGCAGTAGGCTAATAATCGAGCATCTGTGCGAGTTATCACATCGCCCACCGATGAAGAAGAAGAAAACCAAATAAAGTGGCACGTACGTCAGTCCATGTGATATCTTGGATTTTTCTATAATTTTTCATATTGAATTTTGTTTGAATCGACTGTAATTTCCCACTATTTAGTCATTCAGATGTACGAGTAGTTCTCATAGTCCTGGGATTGACCAGTAAGATCTATTTCATCGTCAAATGAATCATCACAGGATTTCCTAATGTCAGTATTCCACCGCTGTTATAACAACAATTTTCCATTGTTTCGCGCTGAGGCTAATCCTTTCCGGTCAAGCAAATGCGAATCGAATACATTTCTGATTGTTTTTGACGAGGCGGAGCAAACAAAGCTGATAATACTTTATTACATTGAACAACCAAAGCTGAAAGTATGGTGCGAATATTCGGAATCATTAGTGTTTTCATCTTTACTCTGTATTGGGCGAAAAGTATCGGTAAGTTGGAATAGATTTCTTGGTTACAAAATTTTCATTACTGTATTTTGTAATGTCTTCGTGATTCCCGGACAAAAAAATGAGAATACAATTGCAGTTTTTTTCCTAGGATCTTTACACACATTTTTTTAATCAATTAGTTTGTTGGGAAAGTATAATCGATGTTCCATACAAATAATAATTTTAGAAATATTTAGCTTATATTTAAGATGTTGGAGTTTTTATAGTGCCCATATATTGAAATATCCTAATTAATGATCACCATTCAGAGTAGAAATATTGGCACCTGGTATAGACAGATAGGTAGCCAGCTTTTCTCAGATGCAATTATGACCAAAATCTAAGCAGCAAACTCCGTTTATTTTCGAACTATTTCAAATAATCTTCAATTTATTCTTATAAAATGTAGCAGGGGTTTCATATTTGCATATCGTTCTAAATGTTCAATGTTGCACTTGAAAATATTATTTCATTTTTGTGTTCGAATCAGTAAATTCGGTTGATTGTTGTTTGGGGGTACGATACAAAAGTAAGGCTATTCAGGCGTAGTTTTGAGGTCTAATGGCTGGCTGAACGATACTGAACTATCAAATAGATCAGATATAAAGATATTGTGAAGTGAATTATACTCCAAGATGATATCTGATTGGTTTGTACGCCAGAGCGACAACAGCGATACTTTCTAATAGAAAAAACGTTAAAATACCGGTGAATTGTGGAATTAAACATAAGGAAATCATATGCGCAGAGTCTAAATGAGTGTACAATTATTTATTTCTATAAAAGGAAATAACACTTGCCAGCAGCCAGAAAATGAGAGAAGGCGATGCCGAGGAAGAGGGAAAGAAGAAATATGTGTGAAATTAGGATGTTGGTGGTGCCCTGATCTCAAGCCGAGATGTGTACGAGGTATATTGAACGTTTAGTTCTTTGTTGAAGTGTCCCCATGAAGTGTCCTCACCATACTCATGAAAATTATATACAAAACATGATAACCTGCTTTTGATTAAATAATATTTTAGTATATATAACTCAGTACATAATATATTGATTTTAATCGATTAATAAAGTTTTTAGATGATTATTTCGTCAAGCGTTTCATGTGGCATGCCAAAATGCAAATTAAATTTGGGTATTTCAGGTGCAGCGTGTGCCAAAATACCGAGAGAAAACTGCTGGGAAGGACCAGCAGGAATGCAGAATCGAGAGGATTGTAGAAAATTATTCGGCTGTTCATGGTGCCCATGGGGATATCCAAAATGTGTGAAAGGTTGGTGATTTCTATTTTATTCGGGATTATTGATATGAGGATAAAAATTTACTGATGAGGGTCAATCCCTTTATTTGGCAATTTTAGCCAAAATTGAAAATTTTTGGTTTTGAATATTTAAACTCAAGAAAAAATGCGCGTCTTTGATGAATTCTGACTTTGTTTTTGTAACCCATTTGATTCTTCTATTTTTATATGCTTGTAACTAAATTCAATGTTTGTAGACTTTGTACCTACACCTACGTCGGCTAGTATTACAACAAACGGTACGACATTGTCTACAATAACCAAAGCAATTACAAGCACAACTGCAACACAAACGCCATCATCCACGTTTACAACTACAACAGGAACGACATTGCTACCAACAACGACTATTCCGAATTTCACAGGTTTCCACAGCTTTTATGCAACGTTCAGTTGTAATTCAAGACTTATTTGGTTTAATGTGTCTCATAATTGGATTTTTCGAGACAAATCTTTTTGGAAGCGCTGTCAACCAATCGTACAGTGCGCTTTGCCTGGATTCCTACCTGCATAAAATACCGTAGGAATTTCATGCTTACATACATAAATCCACGTGCTTACAAGGATAAAACTATATACATACAAAGTTTTACTAGAAAGATCCTTTACTCTGAGATATACAAAATTCTAACTACCATAATACACAATTCAACAAAGTATGCAAAGCTTTAAAGCTTCGGGTTAAAAGAAGCAGCAATTTTTGTTTTCCACCATAGCTGCGCCATTGGATCGTGTATAAGTATATCAACATTTTCACACTCTGTAATTTTACATACAACAGGCACTGCTTCATCAGCTCATACCACTTTTCCCATTACAACGAACATGACAACAACTCTTACTTCTTCTCCAACTCCAACAGAAACCACGCCGCCGTCAGAATTATTGAAATCGACAGGTACGATGATTAGTGGTAAATCGTTTCAACATAGCTTTACAATGTTTTTTATTTTATTTTCAGATTCGAATCATATAAACGGGAGTTCATACAGTCCTTTAACCGTTTCGACAACCCCAATCTCGTCAACAGCTCCAAAAACAACAACTTCGAGTGCAAGTAAGATACAATTGCAGCGGTGAATTCGTGCACTGATAAGTAGTAGCTATTTATCTATTTCAATTTTGTTCTTAATCCTCAGCTTTCGGTATCACAACAGAAGTTATCACTGGTGCCTTTAGCTTGCCAACATCTCTTTCCCTATCAACGACGCCAGTTAAAACCTCTACTTATGTGACAGGTATGTACAATCATCAAATTATAAAAATTAGCAGTTATTTTAATGGTTTCAGAATCGTATCTTTTAATTTAAGATTCAAGTGCCACGAACACGACAGAACCTTCATCTTTGCCATTCTCTACCACTGCACTACCTACACAGATACCTTCAACAACAGCAAGTGAGTAGATAATTTAACATGATTTGTTTTGGGTGCCTTTCTATTTCCACTTTTGTATATTCGCTTTTGATCGACTTATGTTATATAAGTAGCTACGAATATTTATACATTGAAGTTTTTCATTTCAGTTTCTTTTGTCACATTTGCGTTAGATTGGTTTGTATTACAGGTAACTCTATCAGGTAGTATCCGCAATTTCAATAATGCCACGCTATATAGAATTCATTAACTGTTTTCAGCACCGTGTCCCGTCGGTCATGTACGCAGATATAAGCAAGACACATGTTGCGCAAAGCATGCCAGGATCATGGGTGGCGAGAAAGCGGAGGGAGGGCAATGGCCTTGGATGGTAGTTATATGTTATCTCTTTTTTGTATAACTATACTTTTTTCATCCCGAAAAACTTCATGGCGAAATTAATTTTTCTTTTAGGGCGTGTACATGGTAAGGGGATATGCAGTATGTGGGGCTGTACTGATAGATGCGAAATATGCAGTTTCAGCGGCGCATTGCATTGGGTAAGATATTCTCACTGAAACGTTAATATTTTCAAGCCTCCTTAACCCAAATTAAACGTATTTTTAACTTATACAGAGCAGGGAAAAATTATGTGAAAATAAAATTTGGCGTCACTGATATTCTAGGAGAGGAAGATATGGCGCAAATAGTTGACGTAGAAGATATTATTCTGCACGAAGAATATATTCCAAACTACCTGAACAGCGATATAATGCTTTTAATGGTAAGATAGCATGCCATGCAGTTACTATTCCATGTAGGAAAGGAGATATTGAAATTAAAAACAAGTATGATACGCGGTAGCGGACCCCAGGCCAAGCGCTAAATATGCCAATGAATAAAAAAAAAAAATTACCAAAATATTGAACATAATTTCATAATTTTTATTTTTTTTGTGACTCTCCAGCTGAAAGATAAAGTATGGTTTAATAAACTGGTTCAGCCAGTCAGCCTGCCTCTCGGAGAAAACACACCAATAGGAACAAGATGTTTTGTAACGGGTTGGGGGCGACGTAAGTACATAGTCGATAATCGTTTGTGGAAACATATATTTTATGACGCAATGATACGACTCAAAAATTTGATGTTCTATATATATTGAATGACGAGGCCTCGGAGGCTTGATGCCTCTCGGCTTGATCCTACCTTGCCTAATAGTAAATTAGGCACGGAGGGTGTAACATAGACAAGGAAAAATGATCCTCACTGTGAAGCTGAATGTTAATTGTACTGTTACTTAATTTGCCGCTATTTCATTTACGATAAACAATATAATATATATATATATATTATTTTAGCGTATTACAACGCTCCGGATTCGTCTCAAGATTTGATGGAAGTCGGTGTCGATATTATGCCGTTTGAAATTTGTGCACATTCTTATTCGTCTTTGGACGTGGCTGTTATGAGGGAAAACGAGATGATTTGCGCTGGACGATACGAAGGAAATCATGACGCGTGTCAGGTATTTACAAAGTGGCATATATTTTGTAAAACCTCTGTTTCTATTTTCACACTTTCTTGTAACGTTTCAGGGTGATAGCGGCGGGCCACTGGTGTGCCAACGATGCTCAAATTGTGATTGGTACTTGGCCGGAATTGTGTCATTTGGAATCGGTTGTGGAAGTCAAACCCATCCTGGGATTTATACAAAATTGGTTTCTTTTGAACAATGGTTGTATGTAAATGGAGTGCCAACTGCAAGCGGAAAATTTGAATGCTGATATAGACGAGACACCTCAAAAGTTGATAAAATGCCTACACAACAAGTCATGTTTTATTTTGATAAAAATTACAAGAAAGGATTCTTGTGTACTTCCTAACTAATTTTTGGGTGTTGTAAAAATCTTCAGTAAAATTACTTTATTATTCTAGTGAATATATTGAGTTTGAACTACGTATCAAGTGCAATTTGAATATAAGCGCTGTTTGATTATCAGCCAAACAGATTAGTAAATCTGAGAAAACAAGCAGGCGTGTGACATAGGAGCTTTTAATTACTATCACATTAACAAGATTAATTTGTTTGCTATATAATTATTAAACTCAAGTCTTTCATAAAAGTCGGAAAGATCTTACGTAAACGCATCGTAATTGTTGTAACATGTTACCTAAACTATGTGATATTGAAATCTAATAGCCAATAATTATGTTAATCGTTAATCAAGACATCAAATTATGTTGTTCTGTTGGCAAAGTTGGCAAAGTCAGACATACTGTGGTCGGATATACGGTAACCGCAATGATTCAGGAATTTATGGATGGCCGTCCAGTAATAAATCAAATGCTGAAAACAACACTACATTGGTCTTATTACGTAAAGTCAACATCTACTTTAGCATAGTATTACTAAAATGAAGTTTGAACTACTCCACTACTTTATACGGCAGTTCTGATTAACCATACAGCCTTGAACGGGGTAAAGCAAATAAAAATCGTCAAAATTCGGAAAGTTATTTCAAGAAAAAATTCTCAGTCGTTGTTGATTTTTTCGTATGATCAACTAATAAAATTAAAACTAAAACCATTTTATTTTACCATTGTTTCGGATTCAATAGCTTTAGCAATATATCTATCTCGTTAAGTATTTGTCAAGTCAAGTTTTGAATCTATATTTTTTAATAACTAAAGTAGTGCTTTGTGAGATAATATTAAGCGAGATTACTGTTACTATTGTGCATTGAGGAGTCATAAAAGACCCGTACATATGTTTAATTCGAATTACGAACAGTTTTAGCAGTTGCTCAAAGAGCAACGGACAAAATGAACAAAAAACGCAAAACGTGTATTCGAACTTGCGTCAGTTTTGTAACCCTACTTTGGCATTGATACAAAAATAAATTGATGCTCAACGCCGGTAGAAAGAATCAAAACTATTTGCCACGGCAGTACACAATCCCCTTTTTCAGTTTTTATCACGAAACATTGAAATATTTTTCAATCAAATTTAATTATATTAAATAAAAATGATGCTTTTTCATTTTCGTATTTCACTTTCCAATATGTGATCTTGAAACGAGTTGAAGCTCAAATTGGATGAATTAGTTCGGAATGAAGAGAAGATACCACTTATCGGTATACACAAAGTTGCATCTGTATACTTGTATATCGACATAATTAGTGCAAAATATAAAACACCAAATTGAATGATATTGGTGTAATGAGCATAGGAAAAATAGCCTTCATTTTGGTACCAAAATCCATTAGTTTAACTATATTAGGATTGTAATATTGTTCAAAATATAGAAATGTTATATGGATATTTCTCTGACTCTTCAACGGATTTGAAATGTGAGAAAACAAACAACCAAAACAAACATTTTTTAGGGTTTATTAGACTGTTTATGGGCACTAGATGGTTCCAGTCACTTTTTCCGTTTTTTTATTGACCTTTGCCGCTGCCTTGTTTTTTTTTTACATTCATGTCAGACATGTCACATGGCAGCTTTTTGACTAGTATTAACAAGATTAATCTGTTTGCCATATAATTATTAAATTTTAGTCTTTCATATAAGTTCGAAAGACCGTACGTAAGTCCTTCATAATTGTTGCAATGTGTTACCTCAACATGTAATATTAAAATGTAATAACCAATGATTACGTTAATGGATAATCAAAACACCTTATTAAGGTTTTCTGGTAGATATAGTAATTATTGTTGGTAAAGTCAGACATTTTTTCGTAAGATATAGGTTATGGCGATGGTCAAGCAGTCTATAGATGCATGGCCTGCTTAGGAGTCTCCCTATAATTAAATCAATCGAGGGTAAAAACAAAAATACATTGATCTTATTACGTAACGACAACACTTTCTTCAGCATGGAAACAAGCGAGCAATGCTCAGATATATGGACAAGAAGGCCAAAACAAAATAGAGGTCCGAAAATCCGTGGTCTGACCACCGGATCTCTGAAATACGCGGAACCGCCACCTTGTGCGCAATTTTTGATTTTGGCGATAATTTTTGAAAAGTTCGTAATTTAAAATTATTTTTTGTTGAAGTTATTTCTTTAATATAAGTAACCAAAAAATTATATTTTATAATTAAATAATCAGCTTTTGCAAGTTTTAATAAGCTAAAAGTATCTTGCACCTTGCTAAAAACATCGGTTAAATTAGTTTTAGTGCTATTTAGCGAACAGTTTTCCGAACATTCAGTAAAACGATAGAATTTATTGGAATGCAGTGAGCTGGTGATCGTGACTCTTTCATAAGGATGGGCATTTTCGAATAGCATTTTCCTCAAAACATAGAATCCATCACTCAGACAGTTTGCTGAGTGTTCACACACAAGAAGGAAAGAGCCCCATGTCAGAATTGCATTTCATAAATATGGCTTCATCAAAAGAATTGAGGGATTTGCCTCGACCTGTGGCGAACAAAAAAAAAGCATGCAAGGTAACGGGAATTCGAAATTCTCGTTTGAACCGATTCGAATAATTAGTTTCAAAATGTAGAACCCTACTCTCTAATGAGTTCGATCAGAGTTCGTTTAGTGTCATTTGCAAGACCAAATTTGTGTGAGTACTTTTCTTAATTGTTTTTATCTCGAGAGCTCGACGTATCTATTCTTCCCTATTTACGTCACAAAGTCATATTCAACTCAGGCGCCATGCTTCAAAATATTCGGTCTTCGCACAAAAGGATTTTATCCACTTAGCTTAAAAACTCTTCTTAAGAAATGTTTTGTGAAAATATCAATAGATATGGTTACTGGCAGTGGTATATCTTAAAATTAAAGACAATTGTAGCATTTTCCAACGTGTAATTTGGACAAAAAACGCTAAACGTGCACTTGAACTTGTCTCGGTTTTGTATAAGCTACTTTGGCATTGGTACAACAGTAAATTGATGTTCAGTTGAATCGAAATTCCATTCAATTGAATAATAACCATATAGTATCGGTGGAACCAAAGTATTTGTTGCAGGAGTACAGAAACTAAATATTTCGTTTACCGTCACGAATAATTGAAATATTTTTTAAATTTAATTTAATTTGTTTCAATTTCGTTTTCTGGTTGCAAATTGAAATATACGAATTTGAAAAGAGTTCGATGTTTAAATTGAGTAAATTATTTCCGAAATGTTGGCATGTTTACTACCTTCGTTACTTGAACTATGTCATCAGTTTTACAATTGTGGTTTCAGAGATCTTCGATTTGATAATGAAAATAAAATTCTCATATATACAATATATTGGATAAATATATTTTCTGTAATCGGTAAATGTGCAAAATCAATCGAGCTGACTAAAAAAAAGAACCAAAATAATAATTGTTCTATTTATTAATTTTTATAACATAACTAATTATAAGTTTTTGAAAAATGATCTTAAAAAAACAAATCATAATGGGCTCGTGGACGCGGTGATGTCCCAATTAAAAAAAAACTCAAGAAAATATCCCTAATATACTATTGTTTGCAGAGATCTGTGGGATAATTTGTGTGCGACTTGCAGATTCTAATCCTAAACATATATACAGTATTAATGGTCAATAAAACAAACAATCATTAATAATCAAGACAAAATATCCAGCCAATGATTGCTGTACCTAGACTGGACAGTTATATTCCAAATGCTAAATAAGAAATTGTAAATTTTTGCTGTACATCAATGTCATATCTTTGAGCGCAAAAGGTCATTTTATTCTCAAAACTCGTTGGGTCAGTATTGCTCGAAAATCTCACGCATCATCCAACGTTATTCATATTACTAAAAACTATAATTTGGATACTAATATGCCAAATAATCTCAGCGGGTCATGACTTGATCGCATCATTGTCTTCACCTAATTGACTAATTACATCCTTTTAGTTCGATTTCTGATAAACATTGACGTCCAAGCTCAATTACAATTTCCCGTAAACTTTATGTAAGATTTTAATGTAATTTTAAATTTATATTCGAAATAGTGAAGGCCGTAGCAAACTTGGTGATTATGCCATATCGTTGTAAGATGGCGAAACATCGTGTCATTTACGATTATTTTTTTTATTTAATTTGATAAAATATTTTTGAAAAACGACATCCAATGACGCAAGTTCATGGGAAACCTTAAAGTATAAAAGAAGAGGTTCTACACGACTCAGTCATATTTACAATATTTTTTAACGACGATTTCCTGCAACTTGGAAATATTAGAATCATAATGCATTTTTCATGCGTTTGTGCACTTTCTGCTCTTATTTATGTTTTTGGCGTTAACTGTGCGACAGTTAACCTACCCGATGGCAGATCTGGTGAAATCACTGCTACTAGTAATGGGAATCAGAATACACAAAGCGGGGATGGTAAACCTAAAGTTGTGGTAAGTAAACGTTTGTAATATATTTCGTTTTTAAAATCTCATTTTTCGATTATGCGAGCTTCTAAGAGCAGAGCGGATTGCGAAAAGTTATAATTTGTAATCTTTTTAAAACACGACTCTGTATCACGATCCGAGTATAAATATTATATATAATAAAATAATAAACATTGAAAATTCATCTCTAATGATCTTTTGAATATATTTGTTAAGTAACTTCGAAAGAAATTCATTACATATTGATGAACATTTTAACAAACAAATAATTGAATAAATTCGTTGTACGAATTTAAAAATTTGTGATATGTGAATGAACATGATTTTTTCTATTGTTGAATTTACAATCATCATTTTATTACACCATTTTTGCAGGCCAGAAGTGGACTCTTTACCTACCATGGTCTCAGCTCATTCATTAATCAATTATCTAGAAATGGCAACGGTAGAGATAAAGAAGATAGAGCACCACCAACAGAATATTGTGAACCGTAAGTAAATATAATGCTGATTAATAAATACAGTCTCTTAAAAAGATATATACAAATATTACTTGCGCATTTGAGTTTTAATAATCTATATTTAAAATTTCATGTACATAATTAGTAACCTTTTTTATTTTTTTCAGAATGTCTGTATTTCCCGAAGAACAAAAATGCAGAAAAGGATCAGTGAAAGACAAAGATAAGGATTGTGATGTCAAAGAATGCATCATGAACCCAACTGTTGGATACACTGTTCCATCTTCCTATTTCGAACTTTTCAACATACCCCAATATTATAGATATATGTTCAGCAAGCAAATTGTGAACCCAAATCCATTTGGGGGCTTTGGACAGCAAGGACAGTTTGGTGGTATGCTTCAGATGCTCTTGTCACAAATGGGTGGAGGACAATACGGTTATCCTGGTCAAACCGGTTATCCATCAATGGGCGGACAATACGGGTACACATCAATGGGGAGCCAAACCGGATATCCAGTCACAAACACTCAGACGGGCTATCCAGTCACAAACACTCAGACGGGCTATCCAGTGACAAACACTCAGACGGGCTATCCTGCAACAAACCCCCACACCGGCTATCCAGTGACAAACACCCAGTCTGGCTATCCAGTGACAAACACCCAGTCTGGCTATCCTGTTACCGACACCCAATCGAGTTATCCGTATACAAACACTCAAACTGGTTATACAACAAACAGTGCTCAAACTGGCCACTACCCATCCTACGGTTCACAATATCAACAAGGCACTAGTAGGCAATATTACAACCCATATAATCAAAACTCTTATTCCCAGTACCCACAAACAAACTATCAACAATATCAATCGAATGGCTACAATTATCCACAATCGACAGGAGTTTGGGGACCACAGACAAGATCTTCAGAAATCACGGAAGAAGGTAAGAATGCTGATAAGAATGACGATAAAAAACCAAAGATCAGATCATTTGGCTTTGACACGTATTCCATGATGAACAACTACGGTTACAATCCCATGATGCAATACCAACAAAATTATCCTATGCAAGGACCAATCATCGCCACAATGTGCAAGTAAGTTTAATAATTTTCATTGAAACGTAAATATAATACGATTCGACACCGTATATTAAATATCGAGAGCTTTAAAGAGCTTTTAACCGTACATGTTGCGATTCTCCTTGACATTCCTTGGGTGATATCATTCAAGTTTTGAAATTGATTGATTTAAAACCTCACGATGCCTTTACCTAATTTATCATTTTATTTAGACGACCAGGACAGGCCTGTCAATGCAAAACAAGTGAAGACTGTGAATGCAAAAGCAGACGACCGAAGCTTTGCACTCAAAAATACACAGACGAAAGACGATTGTTTCGTGTATGGGAATATGTCACCATACCTGTCACTCAAACACACACCTACACAGACCAAACACAACAAGCGAATGATGGACAGACCTATGAACAAGATCCGGCAACAATGAGAAGCGGAGATGGAAACGATCAAACATTCACTGCACAGTCGCAAACTCACAGTACGACAGACTACCAACAACAACAGCAACCGCAACAACAGCAGCCACAAGGCAGATATGAGCTCCAACAAAAGTGGCTTTATTTCAGAGTAAGTCGATTGTTATTTCATATATTGTATGCTTTATACTTAAGTCCCAAAGAATCTGGTGTGAAAATTAATTCTTCAAGGCATATTCGATTCTGAGAATCAAATATGTCACCATTTCGAAGTAAACATAGTTTAAACTGTATTCATAGCAGTTTAGCAACAAGCAAACAAATAATTAAATACATAATTGAGCAAATATTTAATTTTACTTTTCTCACATTTTAGAGACCCAGCGGTTGTGAATGCGAAACAATGAAGAAAACCCAAGAATACAACTTCTTCGGCTAAATTAAATAATTTCAGTGATCCATGATCTCGAACAACGAGAAGTTGCGGGATATGCTGGTCAGTTGCGGATCTGGCTTCACAGACTATTGAATGGGAACGAAAAGTTCCAATTGTGGTATGAAGCAACTCGACGACGTATTGGCAATCGGTTGCCAATTGACAGTTGGCGTTTTATCTAATTTTCGTATTTCTATCTGATGATATATACGTTTTTGAATCTTTATTTATTGGTATTTGCTTATTTCTCAACATCTTTTTTCAATAAAAAATAAAAATAAAAAAAAATTCTAAACATTGTCGTTTGCGACTTAACTGTTTTACTTATTGCAACACACAAAGGTTATTATAATTACTTCTGCGCCACAGTTAAGTAGCTATTAAGAAGTGATGAGATAAAAGGGGGTTTGCGGAGAACTGCTCTTGCAATGCTGTTTCGAAAGTTCTGTATAAGATTTATTAAAGGCGTGCCATGTCAATGTAGTTTATTTTCGTAGTGAAATAGACACATTTTCTGAAATGAAATAATCTGTTATTAGTGAAAACCTACAAAAGAGAATCTGTTCTCAAAATTTTGAATTCCACCACTGCTATCGACGTGACCTAGTACACATACTATGTTCCGGCGTCCGCAATCTTGGTTTACATACTACGGGAGCGCCAATTTAGTTACAGCAAACTGGACTAACCAGAGCTTGAACTTCGATTTTCAGCTATAAACAAAAAAGTTTTAATCGACTCCGAACCATTTACACAATCTCGAGGACTCCGACCCGTAATGCGCATTTGTAGGAATGCTCAAAAATAGAAAGCGCAAATTACCCATATGTCTGTCTACCTTATATAAATCTTTTGAATTTCTACAATTAGGGTTCTATTTTGTGAATGACATTTTTTAATTATCAGCAGCTTTAAACTGTTACTTTTTACCGCAGACGGCAAGCGTAGTTTATGGCGTCACCCCAAAACTATCACGCGAACAAAATTTTAGTCATATTTGGTAACGAACGCGGTAAACAGCTTGTGAAAAAAATAATTTCGATTTTATAGTGAGAGATTACAATCAAGAGCGGACTTTTCAGTAACTATCAGTCTTATTCCGTGTATATCCTCCGTGTTTTTCAAGCAGACCAATACATAATTCACATGTGTTCCAACAATCACAAATGTATGCCATATACATATTTATTATTTGTTGCAATGTCATAAAACTGGAAGGGAAAGATTTATGCTGATTTGACACACCAACATTTTAAGATCTGATTCTAGACTTGGATGCCGTGTAACTTGACTTTTCCGCACAATTTTAACCAATACTGCAAATTATTATTTCGTATGCGTATTATGAAAGATTCCAAAATAACCGAGTGAGGAAACTTGCATATGTGTTCTAACAGAAATACGGGTGTACAATATTTTATTGATTGCTTCTGTTTGTCAAATATTTTAATTTATATATATAACTTAACGATATCTTTATGAAAAAAAAACATTATCTTATCGCAAACTAAAAAAAAGGGGAAAGTTCTGCTTCTTAGCTCTATAGTTATTAAACACGAATCACACCACTATAATATTACTTTCATTGAGCTATTGAGTTCTTCCTGATAATATTAACATTCTCACTGATTTAATTCCTTGCATTTAGCCATTGACCAAAAAGATTACGGATGTTATAATTCACATTTTTAGAAAGAAATCACTGTTTATTGTAGAGAAACTATTTGTCATTCATTCCTGGCCTCGACACAATTGCTACCTAAGCATTATTTGGTTGCTTATGGAAGAACATGGAAATTGAACTAGTGTGCCTTTAATGATTGGAAAACCGATTGGAGATAGATTACTTTGTGTTTGCATATGTAGAATAAGCTCGGAGAAAAGCATAATAAGAAACTTAGTCTTTTACGATAAGGAATAATACCACGGCTCCGTGAGAGAAAACTAGCGGCTCCGCGAGCTATTCGTTTACCTATTATAGTACTGACTTGGCTAATTATGTACGCAATAAAAAATAATGGCATTAATAAAATTTCACAACGGTACGGTCGAATAGTGGAAACAAGGCGATAATTCGAATATGGCGTTATCTATAAGATAATTTTCCTCGGGTGAGATCTCATCCGGTGCAATTGTAACGTTGGCATTATCTATAAGATAATTTTCCTCGGGTGAGATCTCATCCGGTGCAATTGTAACGTAGTATCAAATAACACAAGTATCAAATATTTTATACCGAATTCGATTCGCCATTTTTGAAAAAAATTTCAGGAACGGTCGGCACTTGTTCTCGAAAAATTATCTGTGAGATTTCGTTTTGCTATTTGCTCCTTCATTAATTTATTATGTGTGTTTCTTCATTACTGTGATGTTTATCACTGTTTACTATTCATATACATCTAACGATATTACGGTAAAATAATCTATAAGTTCCAATAGACAGTGACATATACCCATCCCAGCCTTGGTGCCACATTTTGACTCTACTTTATTAATATGTTTGTTAGGTGTCAAATTTACAGCATTAGTATATTGTTTTTATTCCAATAAATTTATTGTGGGCTCCGTAAATAATACCCTATCGACGAGTTCCAAAACACCAAAAGTTTGAGAACCCCCGTCCTGGAAAACTAGTTTCAAATTGCCTCATTACTTGTTGGTAAGTCGGGACTATAGTATTTTGCTTTACAATCAATTAGAATGATCGCTGTTTATATTGCTATGTATGTCTTAATTATATTTTTCATCTACTTGGATGGTTAGCTTCATGCACGGAAAAATTTCATAATTTTCGAAAAATCATGAGAGTGTTTGTAATTGATTAATTTTTATCACGATTCAATTTTTGAAACTAATTTTTCAGTTGACGTAAAATAAAACACTTATATACGAATTACCAACAAATTATACGACATTTGACAACATTTAATATCCATATGAACCATTTTGTCTTCATTATTTCCTAATAATTGAGTTTACCATTCCCGTTAATGAATTTCGCATGAGAGTTAGGGCCGAATGACGCAAAAAGAGGATTATGACTTTTTAATTGAGCTAAACAACCATGACAATGGCAATTACTTCAACTAAATCTTTTTAAACAATTATAAAATTGATATTAACAAGTAATTATTCTTGGAAAGATTAATACTTGATTCAAGCACGGTTCAGTGAAATAAAGCTACAATTTTAACCGGATTCATTATATTCCTAACTTGGTCTACAGATAATTTTGATTTTGATTGGGAAAAGTTATCGCGATTGGTATATTAGCAATATCTTGCTGTTTGAATTCAACGAATGTGATTAACGTAAATTAATTTAATAAGTAGAAATAAAATATAGTATTATGAATACTAATTGCAAACATCACAAACTTTTCTTTGTCGGCCTCAGTCAATATTTGACGTAAATTATTGAAAATGCGTCACATGACGTACAATTCGAGAAAAATGTTTAGTATATATAGAGAGTCCGGTATCTAACAAATCATATCAAAATCTTAACGAGATTTGAATATAAAATTATTCTTAAAATTAAGTTTGAAATTGAAAAATAAGATGTTGCTGAAAGGACTGTATCTAGTGATGACTGTCGCAACTGTATATGGCAATGTAAGTATTTTTCTTATTGTGTATTTGAAAATATAAATAATCAAATTTTAAATCAATCTAATTAATTTCTACACTATATTGAATTGATATATTTTTGTTGGAACAAATAAAATTCATTTGCTAGGAGTACTAAAATCACTAAAAAATTGGATGTTTATGTCTAACATAGTATAGTTGGGTATGAAAATTATACTCATCATTTTCGACGAGATATTTTCATGTTCACGATCTAAAAACTTGAAATGAATCGCTGTAATATAAATCAAATTATATTTTTTAATTATTCCAGGACTTATTGGACAAAGCAAGAGAACTTCGAACATGTGGAAGGTACGTATTTTAGATTTCATTAGAAATTATGAAATAGTAAGTTCGTCCTAAATCCATGGTACAAAAACTGCTTTATTATGGAGAAATTTTTGTCTGAAGTTTACAGTGTAGTATTTATGCACAAAAATGCAAATAATAAACAAAGTCTTCTCTTTTTTTAGATTTGAGGAGAGAAAATGCAATGACGACAAAGCCGCAGTTTATTACACATTAACCAATCCGGGAAAGTGTTTAACGAAAGAATGCCTTCTAAAGCCAAGTACTGGATACACTGAAAATCCTGACAGAAATCCTTACGTGAAATTTTTTCCTCAAAAATTCTCACAGAAAATTATCTACACTTTCGATGAAATAAAGGCTAAAACATGCGGGTAAGCACAAGTTTTGTTATATATAATATAGTAAATAGCATTGAGGTATTTATTTTTGTCTACAAAATTGGATTTCATGAAATAATTATGAGATATGCAAACGCCGATTATAGCCATAGCTGTAGGCCACACACTGAATACCTCTATTTGGAAACAAGATTTTTTTCAAACTGATGACTCGCACAGGAGTGATTTGTTTATTAATTTAATCATTATGAAACAGCATTTTGAAACGTTAACTACGTCAGCAAAAATTAGGTTAATACGATTTTAACTGAGAATATATATTTTTTTCAGTTTTCAAAATCAACCATGTACCTGTAAGCAAGGAGACAAATGCACTTGTGACAACGATAGACTCAAAATATGCAAGCAAAAATATAGATATGAAAGAAGCTACTTCCTTGTAATTAACACAGCAAAACAAGCAATCACCTTAACAAAGCCAGTGGTTTCTCATTCTACACAGCAGAAACCTCATCATCACCAGCAATACTATAATCAGCAACAAGCTCAGATGAATTCTCAACCCAACAGCTATTCATCGTATAATAACCCAGCTCCATCGTATAATAACCCAGCCCCAAGCAACACCGATAATGGACAAGGAAACAATTATGATGAATGGTATAGCACAAGAACAGGCGAACTTCCCAATTATTACCCCAAACAAAATATGCCGAGACCACAAAATGTCGGCGGCAGCTCGATCTTAAATCATCTTATGATGCAAAAATTTATGGGCGGTTCCAAATCTGGAGGAAATTCAGGTATGATGAAATGGTTACTCATGTCTCAGATGATGAATAAACAAGGCACTGGACAACAACAACAACAACAACAACAACAACAACAACAAGTCGGATATGACACTGGAAACACTGCTCAGAATCATGCTTCCCACACACCTGGACCAAATACCCAGCACAAATCCAACGGACGACAAAAAGCAGCAAAACATGGCACCGTGTTCAGTCCGACAATGCTTTATTACATGATGAAGAGAAACAATAAAGACTCCGGTTCCAGTGGAAGTAAATTTCTTCAAATGTTACCAATGTTAATGGGAAATAACAACTTATTTGGAGGTCAATTGGAACTCAAATCTTTGTGGGTGCAAGTACCATACGATTGCAAATGTGAACACAGGGAAGAACAAGAATATGATGATGACGAAGACGATGATGATTCCATATTTTCACTCATTCCATATTTGTTGGGAGGGGGAGGGAACCCTATGACAGCATTAATGGGAGGGGGAGGGAACCCTATGGCAGCATTAATGGGAGGGGGAGGGAACCCTATGGCAGCCTTAATGGGAGGGGGAGGGAACCCTATGGCAGCCTTAATGGGAGGGGGTGGAAACCCTATGGCAGCATTAATGGGTGGATCTGGTCTTGGTGGCAATCCACTTAATGTTTACAGCATGCTAATGAATCAGAATAATAATAATAATGACTATGGCTCCCCTCGATCAAATTCGCTTCCATTCTTACCATACTAAAATTTCGAATCAAATAAGTAGATATTTAGTTTATGGCCTCTTTAAACTGAAATAACAAATACTTAATTGAATATGAACATTTTTTACTATTGAATGTGTGCATTTTTGTTTTGAATGAATTTGTTTTATCATTTTGGAACTTGTTTATTATTTATTTTGTTAATATAAAAATTTTACTAAAACTATTTTCTTGTTTATTTGAGTTTTTGTAAAACATGGTAGAAAGGAAAAGCAAAAAGAACAGAGGATATTGTGAGATCTATTTCAAAATATTTAGAAACATAATAGATAGGATTAATACCATATTAATTAGCTACTGACAACTTATTCCTAATCACATGTAAACAGGGTTTTCATTTCCACATTTTATTGGTATCGTAGGGCTTCTGAAATAAAAAAATTCAAAATTGTAAAACAAAATTTTATGATGGTGTTCGGAGAAAAATAGTGATGAAATCGCAATCGGCTTCGATATTCGTCTTTATTACGGTGATTATGCGTGAAAATCTACCGCATGCTAACTTTAAATCAGCAAAGAAATTTAAATAATAGTGCCGTTTTAAGATTTTTACCGTTTGTTTTTGCATCTTCACTCCGAAGAAGTGTTTCCCCTATACAAATATCTAAATATAAATTGGTGTTTTTGCTACGTAGCAAGACACAAGAACTGATCGTGGCAATTTGCAAAGCATTTTGAAATTGAGTCGGAAGTTTCACAAAACAGACTCCAAGAGTTCCGTGATTAGTTTCAGGCAAAGGTTTTTGTTTGAATATCTACGGTAAGACATAAACACATCACACACGGATCAAATATGTTGCATTCGATTTTCAATAGGCCCGCCTTGTTATAATAAATGAATGTATGATATATTGTCATTCCAACTTTTAATCGTTCAATTTATTTTATGATTTATATATAATAATTATGTGCATTTACTGTATTTTTTTTAACTTATGGGTAAAAACCCGAAAAGATATAAAGCTAAACATCTTGCGGATTTGATAATCGGATTTCAAACTTTTGTTGTTTGTTATAGAAAGATTAAAACTTACTCGCTAATACTGTTCAAGGTATATGAATACCTTTGTTTAGCATTCGCGTCAATTTTCTTGTATCTTGTCACTTGCAGTCTAAAAGAAAAAGGCAGTTTTTTCAAATCAAGTTTCATAATAAAAATTGATCAATGAAAAAAGAGTGAAAAACTAAAAAAAATTTTAAACAATGAAAGCACAATTATATAAGTGTTAATTTGAATGATTTTGAATTTTCGTCGATATTTATAATGAAATAATAAAACTAAATATATTTAAAAACTGATTGTCAACAGACAAATACTTTAATTATTCAGCATATTGAAAATAATTCCATAGGTATTTATATTTTGGAAAAACTGGAAATTTAAATGTTAAAATAGCATGTAGCAATAGCGTTCATGTAATAATTGTACGACAGGGAGCTTCCGATCTGAAATATTTTATGACGCAGAAAACGAAAAAATCTAACGCTTGCGGTTATTTGTTATACATATATATTTGTTATATAGATATATATATCAGAGGTGGCCGACCTGCTTTTGACCGTGATCGACTAAAATCTTTAGAACAGTTTGCAATCGAGTGATCGGTAATTAGATCATACACAATAACGAATGGTAACTGTATATACAGATAACTGAACACGCGAATACACAGGCTCTGTGGGAGCATTTTTAATGGAATCGCCGCAAAAATTTGTATTTTTCATGTTCCCTTTTGTTAATTTGAATATGTAATTGTATTCGGAGAAAATTTTCATTATTTTTTATTCAAGTCATACAACTCAGATTTAAGGTTTTCCTAATTTTTAGTCGTAAGTGTTGAAAAATCCTTAACATGCCTGGCCAAGTATAAATATTATTTGAACAGAAAAATAAATATATTTTAATTCATAAATGTTACATGCCTTCTCAAACTCAAATGTATGCGAAACTGTAAATATACAGTACTGTATTCCTCTTGTTTTAAAACACACAACGGGCGCTGCATGAAACTGGTTTAAGGCAATTTCATTGGGTACGTTGTTAAATTCACTCAACATCAGATGCGCTCTTTACTCAACTACTCGAGACGTGGCGATCGATCGGTCGATCGCGATCGATGTGTTGGCCATCCCTGATATATATTATGTAAATAAGCATGGTTGAAAAATACGAATTGAAACGCGATGTATACCATATGCATATGTATACTATATAGAATGTAAGTATCAAAAGAAATATTTTTTTAGTCAAATAGTCATACATTGTTTCTGTGAACCCCATTTGCGATTTCAATCAATTTAATAGATTGTTTCACGAGCAGTAGTTGAAAAAAATCACATAAGGAGTTTCTCATCATTATTTCTTGCAATTACAATATTATCGAACATCTCAAGCTGTTGGCGGTAGTAACGTCTTAGATCATTTTTTATGGAAAAATTGAATTATTGATGCAACAATGTTGCACGCTGTAATAAATCATCGACGTCAACCTGAAATTCTACATATTTTAAATACAATCAATGATGCCAAAAACACTTGACGATATTGTTGGAGAGTCATTTTTGAAAGTATCATGTCAAAAATTTTATGTCGTTACCTACTTGAATTTTGAGTTCGTTAAACATGATAGAAATGTTATTTTTACTTTCAATAGATATTACATACAAATTTTAAGATACTGAGTTACTGAAAAATATAAATTACACAACTTTATTTTCAGAAACTGAAGCAAAACCCAATTTATTAAATAAATAAATGAAGCACATTAAATCCTCCTGTTTGATAGCCTGTAATTTTACGAGGTCAGATCTTTGACAAAATGTCTTTCACATTTAATGTTAATGGAAAGTGTAGATGCTGTTCAATACGTGCTCTGGTACTTTCCTAATTACCTTTTTTACATAAACTCACACAACGATCAAATATTAGATGTTGTCACAATCATGAGATATTATGAATCAGAGAAAAGCTTTAAATTTTTTTTTCACTTTTATATTTATCAAAGTTTACTGCAAGTTTCATGTATTTAGATGAGGTTTAACATAATTTTCCTAATATTTCTGTAAATTTGCCAATTCAGAAATGAGTTTGAAAAGGGAAATAAATTAATTTGAGGTGATTAATGCCAAATTAATGCCATCAAAAATATGAGGTTTTACATGACTTCTGTGTTTTACTTTCTCGTAACAATACGACATAAAGATTAATGAAGCAAAATTTTTTTCACAGACTTTTCAAAAATTGATATATAAGAAATGGCAGCAAGATCTCATGACGCTTATCAATTACCAACTTTTTAAATTCAGAATTACAGTCCATCTTTTATTTGTATCAGTATACTAATACTTATAAAGTATACTTTTAATGAAATTAAAAATCAACGTTGAATGATTAACATCGCAAAGTTCGATTCTTAACTGATCATAATAAAAAGTTGTTCAAAACAAAAAACTGCAAAATAATACGTTTTCTAACAAATACATTAAGGCACAGTTGTATAAATGATCCAGCAATGTTTAAGTATAAATATTTGCATTGATAATTTAAAAAAAAAAATCAACAACAACATTCATTTTTTAAAACCCAATCTCTACATAAAAATACATGCATCATCACGTATAATATCGAAAGTTATTAAAACTACAAAAATTAGTAAATTTTCTTATCAGAAAAATAGGGAATTTTCATCTTGAAAACGTGAATGTAATAATTTCACGATAATTTACTTCCGATCTTGCAATTCTATGGTGTAAATATATATTTCGCCCGCGGTTACTTGAAAGTATGTAAATCAGCCCAAGAAGATGGTAACGAAATGCGTAAAATTTATCACGAAAATGCTATACTATATATAATACTACGGTAATCTATACTAAAATAGTCATGTATTTTTTCTTGAGAACATATCTAAGATTTGAATGAATAATATTAATAAATATGCAATTGTTTCTCGTTCGCATAAAACTCAATCTCAAAAAATTCCATTAACTGTTTTCAAAAGTTTTGTAATATGAACTTTAGGCGCGGCGGTGTGGCTCAACGGGCTAAGCTTTAGGAATACGCTCTCCACCGCACCTCCAATTAATCTGCGTGGGTTGGCAGGTTCGAAGCTCATGCAGGGATGGTTATGTGCGAGAGGATTGCTGGACTCCTCGCCGTCGTTGGGTGGTTCACGTAGCGCTGGCCGGTTACGGCTTCCCCTAACACCAAGTCCATGCTTCCAAAAACAAACAATATAAATAATCCCATACCCGACTTGGAATGGTAACCGGACGAGAGGCCGTGGTTCGCCATATGTATACGCCGTCTTATCGGCTTTTCTCTCCCCCGTGATAAATATGTAAATCCTATTCTATCCTATATTACTTTTTCAATTTTCTAAGTAATATTACTTCTATTTTGATTTTCAAGACGTTATTTTGTTACATTTATATCACGGGAAACATAACAAGTGCTACGAAAAGAGTTGTCTTTAAAGTTTACAAATACAATGATATCAATATCATTCAAGTTATCTATCACGTCTATTTCAAGTTTTCTAAAACTGCAGGAAAAAAACATACTAAATATTTTGCAAGTCTACTATTAGCCCCACGAGATTCTTGGCGGTTGTTTTTTTCGGACGTTTTGATAGAGTTTATAAAATTACAACACAAATAAGGAAAATAAAGGAATGAAAAAAATGAGCAGATGAAAAGTAAGATTGATATAGACAATAATTAATCATCATAATTACATAGTCAATATACCGGGACCAGTATTTAAAATTTGTTAAAATAAAACATCATGAAACGAAAAATAAGAAATAAATAATAATATTATTACGGATGTTGATAATATTTCACTTAATTTTGGCAATATGCAAAAGTATTTTGAAATGGAGTCAGATTAAAGCATGAATTGATCATCGGCTTTGTAGCCTAGATATAATCAATTTTGCTCAAAGAAATTACAGTAAGGTGATGTATTTTGAGATTGTCCATAATATATGTAGATGTGATCATAAAGTAAGGAAATTTTACTGAAATGAAAATTTTGACTATTATTACACCTCTGTGTATTTTTATCGTGAAATAGAAGTATTTTGACAAGATAATAAAATATTAAAAGTGTTGTCAAATCCACTCGTCATCTTTATTGTTCACCTAAAAAGTAGATAAATTTGA